GAGGGGCAGAGGCGTTCAAGCACGAGCTGAGCTCTGCATGCGCCAACTTTTCTATTTCTTAAAGTCTGAAAGAGGCAGATCAGACTAAAGACTGCTGACACATGACTGACACATGACTGAATTACTGGCACTCACAACGCAAGCCATGATTCAAAAATAACCCTTTTAAAAGCATACCTGAGTCTGAGACACTCATGGTTTACAAGTGACTGGCAGGATCCATGCTTATTTGCTCGGTAATATAAATATAAAAATTAAATTTGACATTTTTTGGCAATATAAAGTCACAAACAATTGCATTACAATGCAGCACTAGGAATCCAATTATTGTCATTTTTGATTACACTTGTTATTATGCCAGTAATTGTAATCTAGCAATAGTAACTATGAAGTTTAAAATCAGTAAAGGGAGACACAAACTAAACATCATGAAGTCTTAAAATTCATGAAAGCATGAAAAAAAAATAATTGTTTTAGAGAAAATGGCTAACTGCACTAAACGATAAACATGACAAAAGTGTGCTACATAACATTTAAGCCAACTTCATATGCCGTATGTTTTTAATATTAATATTATGTTATTAACAAGTAAAACTCATTTGTTTGCAAATACCTGAGTACTTGTCTAACAAGTGAACACATTTTTAATGGCAAAAGAATAGTAGGCTAACCATGGGTTTATTGTGCATTTTCTGTAAAGCTGCTTTGAAACGAGGAGTATTGTGAAAAGTGCTAATACAAATTAATATGATTTGAATTATAGTAAAGTGTAGCAAACATGGTTTTCTTATAGAAAAAGTAACCATGTTTTGTATAACCCGTTTTACTACAAAAAAACATGGCTAAACTATGGTTATTTTAGTAAAACCATGTTTCATTTGTGGTTGTTTTTTTTTGCCTTTGGCTTTATTTGTGGTAAAACCATGGTTTATTTTTGTGCGTATGTGGATGGCATAGTACGAGAAGTATTAGGTTCATGTCATTCATTGCATCTTAAAAAAAAAAAAAAAAAAACTGGAGACAAGATTATAGTTACTGAAGCATCTGAGAACCAGGAGACTATTTAATCTTTATAATCTCAGTGCCATATAAAAGAGACAGCACTGAGAAATATGGGTAGAAAAGGCACTGATCCAGCACTGAAATCACTGAAACTTTTGGCACTAATTTCAATAAAATTCCAATGGACCTACATCATCTGACTAACCCAAAAAACCTGGAGCACACACACCTGACCTGAACCGTGTGGCACCGATGAACTGCATAGTTGATCAATCAACTATTTCAGGTCAAACTCATCTCTTCCAGGAGCACTTAAAGGGATAGTTCACCCCAAAATGTAAATTCTGTCAAAAATTAAGACTTTCGTTCATCTTAGGGACACAAATTAAAATATTTTTGATTAAATCTGAGAGCTGGATCACTCCTCCATAGGCTTCTAAGGGATCGAACCTGGCCGGCCCAGAAAAGTTATTAAAGACATTGTTAAAATTGTCCAAGTGACTACAGTGGCTCAATCTTAAGTTTACCAAGCAACGAGAATACTTTTTGTGCGCAAAAAAACAAACAAAAATAACGACTTTATTCAAATTAATTTCCTTCTCGGTGGGCCTCGAGCGAGTTCACATAGTGTAACAGCGCAGCGCTTCTGTGCTGTACGTCTCACGCATCACACACACATGACCAGCGTCGGCCAACAGTGAGCCCAGCAGGTTTCGATCCCTTAGAAGCCTATGGAGGAGTGATCCAGCTCTCAGATTTAATCAAAAATATCTTAATTGGTGTTCTGAAGATGAACGAAGGTCTTACGGGTTTGGGACAACATGAGGGAGAGTAATTACTGACAGTTTATATTTTGGGGTGAACAATCTCTTTAAAACCTCATCGTAAAAAATCGATGCCAATCTCTCCTTATTCTACGCTACTCTGAGCAATGTCTGAAACTGTATTTTGGGCACTTACAGTAGTTATTTGCCCTCATTGTGAAATAATCACTTATATGTGGTAGGGCTGTCAAACGATTAATCGCATCCAAAATAAAAGTTTGTGTTGTTTACATAATATATGTCGGTGCACTGTGTATAATTATTTTTTATATATATATATAAATACACACAGATGCTTGTATATATTTAAGAAATATTTTCATGTATACTGTATATAGGTTTATATAATTTATATGATATGTAAATATAAATATTTTACATATAAATAATATTTTTTTCTTAAATATACATGCATGTGTGTGTATTTACATATAAAAAATAATTATACACAGTGCACCCACATATATTATATAAACACAAACTTTTATTTTGGATGCGATTAATCGTGATTAATCATTTGACAGCCCTAATATATGTGGTTATTTCACAATGAATCTCTTGCTGTATCCTAATCTGTATGTCGCTTTAGATAAAAGCATCTACAAAATAAATGTAAATGTAATTCCTACTTTAAACAGCATACAGCGATGTCAGTGCTGTGATATGAATCTGCTGGCGATAGTAGTGCAGGATTGATATCAGGGTCTTTTTATTGTGATGGTCAGTGGTCTGATGGAGACTGAGGGTGTGTGTTTGCTTTGGCGAACCCTGTGTGTGATGAAGAGGAACGCCTCATGCTGCTTACTGATGGGACTCGTTAACCAAACAGAAAACCTGATTCAAATAAATGTGAAGGATTAAATACATACTTCCTGAAACTCATGCCAAGAAAATATGGCGTGGAGGGAAAGTGCCTTATGAAACTAATAATTAAAAAAAAAATCAGCATTTTCCAACTATAGTAAAACTGAAGCTTTGTATTTTAGATTTCTTTTTTTTTTTTTCAGATAGCATAAATTAGAAGGCAACTGCTGGGAAAGTGATTGAAAAATGTCCATACATGATTAATAGTCTATATTGCATTATATCCTCAATAGTTTCAAAGAACGGCCACCAAATTCTAGGCCTGAAATGTTTCTATATTCCATTCTTTGTCCACATGCTTTTTTCATCCAGCAGGATGATCCGATCACATCTCTCACATCACGTGATTTGAGGAGTCACTCATGTCCACAGCAACACTCATGTCCACATCAACCACACGTGGGACGGGTTACATGCTGACACTTATACTTAAGGTTCTGGGTTCGTTTTAGTCTACTGTACATGTGGGCATGCGAGCAACAATTTCTTGTTCTGATGATATTGCAAACACGCACCAAGATTGACCACATACAAAAAGGAGCAACAATTATAAACCGCCCGTTTCAGGAAATATAAGATTCTGGGTCTAGAAGACAAACACGTGTGTGCTAGCCTGCCCTCCAGTGGCTTCCTGTGGCGTTCAGAACTTCAGGGACATACAACCCAAAGCAAGAACAACAATGTGAAAGAATCAGCTTTAATAAAAATTAAATGGTCAAAGAAGAAGCAATTCACAAGAACAGGAGACTATCCTGAAAACTGTAGTCTGTGATGAGAGAATGTGCGTGTGTGTGTGTGCGTTGAAGTGCCTCATTCCAGCGCGAGTCCCTCGGGAAGCTCCACCACCACCGGAGCACATTCATCCGGATCCGCATCAAAGTCCCAGCGGAACTTTTTGGTCAGATGGACTTTAAATTTTTCAGCTCTCTTCCGTAATGTGCTGTCGACCCCGGGGCTGCTGGCGAACTGGAAGAAGTCCTGGAGGGCCAAATACGGGAAAAAATATTCACAATTATTAGTCGCTTATTTTAAAAAGCACACACTGTTTGACAAATGTACGGAAGCCCTGAACCGTAACCAAAAAAAAAAACATCTGTAAAAAAAAAAAAAATACAAAAAAAAATCTAACTTTTTTTTAAATCTAACATTGAGATTAAAGTCAAAACATTTCGAGATTAAAGTCGAAACATGTCGAGATTAAAGGCAAAACATTTCAAGATTAAAGTCCAAATATTTCAAGAGACGGGAGTATGAGAATCCAGTCTTCCGTAGAAGCTGCGCGTGTTGAAGAAGCGCCTCATGTTATGCTGTATTTCTTCCTCAATGCTCTGTCTTCCTGTCCTGTCGACCCCCTTGTTTTATTGTATGTATGTCTGATGGATAGGTTGATGGCTAATTTCACTGGTACTTGTGACTAAGTGACAATAAAGACTACTACTACTACTTTTTTTTAGTACTACTATTTTTTTTACTTTTATTACATTGCCGCACACACAGGCATTCATAATGGCCAATAGCGAGTTTCACACTGTGTTTGTGCGTGTGTGTGTGTGTGTGTTTTTTGTTTTTTCAAAGGAAATTCAATAGGTGCCAATCCACCAGCATTAGGCTACCATTATAGGATGTTATAAAATATAATGCGCCGGAATAGACTTTAGCCTATAGGAAAACCAACACGGAAAACACTTTTCAGACTGGATGGAGAAATCCAGCTTTATGAATGAATGAATGAATGAACGGAGTATTTATATAGCGCTTTCATTTGTCTACTAGGCCTACACTTAAAGGATTAGTTCACTTTTGAAAAAACTTTTGCTGATAATTTACTCACCCCCATGTCATCCAAGATGTCCATGTCTTTCTTTCCTCAGTCGAAAAGAAATTTAGGTTTTTGATGAAAACATTCCAGGATTTTTCTCCATATAATGGACTTCAATGGGAACCGGATGGTTCAAGGTCCAAAAGACAGTGTTAATAACAGTTTCAGATGCAGCTTTAAATGTCTTTAAACGACACCAGACGATGAATTAGGGTCTTATCATGCGAAACGATCGGTTATTTCAAAGCTTATTCCAAAAATGTAACTTTTCTAAGGACAAATGCTAGCCTTTCTCCATTCTGTGAGGCGCGTTTGCAACGTCACGTAGTACGTAATTACGTTCAAAAGGTCACGGGCGACGTAGCCAGAAGTACAGAGTCAGAGTGTTTACAAGTTGAACGCATAGGTTGAACGTGAAAACTAACTCAAACGCCGTTTACAAAAAAGGAATTAAAAGGTAAAACAACGATGTCGGACGATTTTGATTCTGTACTTCCGGCTACGTCGCCCGTGACCTTTTGAACGTAATTACGTATTACGTGACGTTGCAAACGCGCCTCACAATATATTACAAGGCTAGCATTTGTCCTTAGAAAAGTTACATTTTTGGAATAAGTTTTGAAATAACCGATCGTTTCGCATGATAAGACCCTTATTCATCGTCTGGTGTCGTTTAAAGACATTTGAAGCTGCATCTGAAACAGTTATTAACTGTCTTTTGGACCCTGAACCATCCGGTTCCCATTGAAGTCCATTATATGGAGAAAAATCCTGGAACGTTTTCATCAAAAACCTAAATTTCTTTTCGACTGAGGAAAGAAGGACATGGACATCTTGGATGACATGGGGGTGAGTAAATTATCAGCAAAAGTTTTTTCAAAAGTGAACTAATCCTTTAAAGCGCTTTACAATCATATCAGAGTCTTTTCCTCAACCATTAGTGGTTGTTAAATCTTAGGAAATCACAGGGTCCGGCCTAATGATTGGATACAGAATAATGCACTTAAAATGTATCCATATTTACGGTGAAGAGGGAGACTTTAATCTTGAAATGCTAGATTTTTTTTTTTTTTTTATGTTACGGTTCAGGGCTTCCGTACAAATGCATCATGAACAAGAGCCAACCCGTCCAGCTCTACACCGGCCATTCACAGACTTTTTTTTTTTGTCATCTGAACCCATTTGACCTAAAAGTAATATTTCAAAACATTTTTACTGAACAATTATTAATAATTAAACATTCACAACTTTACGGTTCTCTGATGTCGGTAATGAAGTGAAAGTAAACATAATATTGCTTTGTTGATTTATTTTATTTGAAATATGTATGTGACACATCCGTGGGTGCGTCGGAGTTCAATATAAACTCCTGCACTCTTACACAAACTTGCATAATTATTAAGAAATGTTATTAGAAACGTTTTTGGTCAAACAACCTTCCGCTTATGTTTGAGTAGTATGCAGGATTTTTATTTTGAAGTTATTTATTTATTTCAATTTTACATGTTTATATTTGTACTAATTATTCGTTTTCCATCAACTCACAAACCCCTGGGAAACATTTATGAAAAATTAAACAATTTTGGTGATATAAAAAAATTGTTTCAGTGGTGAAACATTCTTTGGTTTCTTCAAAATTTTGTGTACTGCACAATCAGTATGTGTATGTTCACTTAGTAAAAAGAGATTTCGAAAAAAAATAAAGGTTTTTAAAGAAAAAATTCCAGGATATTTCTCCATATAGTGACTCCAATGGGGTTCAACAGTTTGAGGGTCCAAATGTGAGTTTCAGTGCAGCTTTAAAGTCTAGACACGATCCCAGATGAGGAATAAGGGAAGTTTTGTGGGTAAAAACTATACATATTGATATTTTGTAAGAAATGGCCGCTGGTTTGTCTAGATAACTTTAGGTCACTTCATCTTAGTCTCTCCATCTTTGTCTGACACTGTTTTTTCATTTTTTATTTAAATATAAAACGCAGGACATTTTAGCGCGTGTCTGCCTGAGGTAATCAGAGAGCTACACTCTTGAACACACTATTGAAGCTCCGCCCAATGTGTCGGGAGATGAAGCTCATTTGCATTTAAAGGGCCAGAGACAAAATGGTGCGTTTTTGCTAATCCTCAAAGAGTGACAACTTTAACATGCTATATAAAAATATTTGTGGGGTATTTTGAGCTAAAACTTCACACACGCACTCTGGGGACATTTTTGTGAAAAGGGCATTATACCAACCCCCTCAAGATGACCTGAATGCTCATATTCCACTTCTGTCGTTAAAGCTAGGATTCATGTGGAGCGTACCTGAAGTGTGGAGGTGAGGAAGTTGTTCTGGGACACGATGTCCACAAAGAAGTCTGGAGGGATTTCTCCCAGCTGGTGGTAGAGCACGGCGACGAGGCCGAGGTACAGGTCCCGGCGCTCCCGCATGGCCTCCTCGCAGCGGCACAGCAGCGCCAGCAGGCTCTTCCAGTGCTCGAACGCCTCGTACACGTTCCCAAGCAGGAAACACACAAACGCAAACTGCAGCTCGCCTGGACACCACATGATAGATTTAGATCTGTGTTATTGGGTCATTTATGACTAAAAACACCTCTAGTCGAAATAACCGACTAACAAAAACACGCTTATAAATCTCCCTTTTATTGCCGAATATTGGATTCGATCTTTTAGATGTCAACCTTTGTCAATGCTATTTTCTTTTGGAAGCAAACTTTGCTGCATTCATTTTTCCTGTTATCACTATAAGTGAAACACTCTGTGTCATAAAAAGTGCTATATAAATAAAGGTGACTTGACTATTGAGGTGCATGAGCTCAGATCAGTGAGGCCTACAATCAATCAGATCCTAATAGAAATACAAAACCTGTGCTAATTGGAAGAAAACACGTTGACAAAAAGATTGAATCCAGTATTTGGCAATAATAAAGCAGTAATAAATCAAGAGATTTACAAGCTATTTTAAAGGATGGTTATTTTTGACCAAACTAGGAAAATGATTTTCAGCACAAGGAGAAATGGTGCAAGTATCAATAAAGACTAATAAGGGCTGTAACAATACACTGTCTCACAATATATCGCAATACAAAAAAGCAACAATATCGTGGATAGTGACAATATGTATTGTGTATAATTTACCATAAATAAAAATAAAATAAAAAAATCAAGTTTACAGAGTGTCACTACTACATTAAACTACTATATATAATGTTGAATATAATGTATAATAATGCAATGGAGGAATGTGTGTGTGTCTTGATAAGGCCAAATGTTTGATGTTAGCAGTATTTAAAATATATCTAATCAGTGAAGCAGTGCAAGCACAAAATAACTGTATTTTCAGCTTCAAAATCATGAATATTGTTATTCTGATGTCTATCATGTCCTGTGCTTTGGGTTTCCAGCACCAAGTCCATTTTAATCTACAGTAAAAAAAATGTAATCTTTTATCATGTCATAGGATCGCAATAATACGGTATTGTGATATGTATCGAATCGTGACATGAGAGTATTGTTACACCCCTAATAAAAAAAACCAACACATTATATCACAGGACAACAAGACCTCAATACAATGAGATGTCATGGGCTTTATGGCCATTCCTGAAGGTTAAACAACATGATGTATACTGAACAGCAACCAATGCTCACCTAGCACATCGAGCGGCTGCTCTTTATAATGTCTCTCGAGCACGCAGTTGAGAGAGTAGGTCCAGTCCATGCTATACTGTGTGATCTGAGCCGGGGTCGCCCCGGGAGGGTACGCCTGTTTGGGGATGTGAGAGAACCTCAGCTCTGTGCCTTCCCTGTGCTTCATCCGGGGCAGCCGCTCCAGGCCCTCCTTCATGCTCTGGCACTCCTGATGGAGTCGGGGCAGGTTCTGCTCGGCCCGGTCTTTAGTGTGGGTCAGCTGCAGTTCTGGGATCACGTCGCTGAAGGCACACACGCGCCCGCTGAGAGGCTGGAGAGCGCTGGCCACCTCCTGACTGAGTCGGTTCGTCAGCGAAACCCACTTCCGGAGGGTGTCGTAGGGATATGGGCCCAGATACCCGTCCAGCTCCCGGAGATTGGCCCGCACGCGCTCCACCTCCTCCGGGCTCTGAGAGATCTCCAGGTCATCTTCAGCCTGGTTCCAGTGGGCCACAAGCACCTCGCGGGGTTTCAGGGACAGGAACAGGCCAGTTTTGGGGCTGATTTCCCCACAGGCTCCACTCGTGCTGACGGAGCAGTAGTGGAGGAAGTGGAGCCCGGGAGGAATCATCTTCACCCCGCGGAACCGGGGGCCCAAAGTCCAGGTTTTGTAGTCGAGCCCCAACTCTGTACCCTCGGGAACACCGAGTAAGACAAGAGTGGCTCCTTCTTCAAATAAGCCCCGGGCCACTTCAGGGTCCATCTCTGTTCCTGCCATGTCTGTGTAAAATACTGATCACACACAACATTACTGTAGATATAGTTACATATGACTGGAATCACATTACAATGAATGATAATAACTATTACAGATATTGTAATTTGTCAACGTCATAATAGATCACTGTGTCCGCACTAGAAAGTTAACTAATAACTAAAGTAATGAAAACTAATCAATTGTATGTACAGAAAGTTCATTATCGATGACTCTTTGGCAAGAAATATATTCAGTTGGGCAAATATGGACTACTTTATGGCAGATTTAACATCAGGTGACATGTCAATGAGTATGAATAAAAAGTTCAAGATTTAGCTTTAGGTTCTTAAATACAATGAATGTAAAAGACATTACATTAATGCAATATTAAGGTATGGCACAGTATGAGTAAGCTAGAAAATCTATTTCCAAAATAATGTTATTAACCACCAAAATCAAAAATAGCGTAAAACATGGATATGTCGTAAACAGCAAAACATAAAACTCATAATACCAAAACAACAGCGCTCAGTCACAAATCCAGCATTTCTGCGTGAACGCCATGTGTGAATCAACAAGAGGCACTTCCGCTAAATGGCAAAATAAAAGTCCTACTTTACAGTTCAACACAACATCCATCTGCAGCTGAAAAAAGTGTATCACCCTACAAATTTATTAGGGCATTAAACGCAGTTTTTCCTCGTCATCCGTTAAAGTGTCATATATAAGTCTAACAAAATTGTACAACTGCTATTCCTCAAGAAAAGAAGACATGTTTGTTGCACACTTTTACAGCAACAACTTCTCCGCTCTTCGTCGGACACTCCACAGCTTCCGGTAACAGCGAGAGCGGGTGTGAATGTAGTGGGGCTTTTATGACTGTATAGTGTGGATTTAGCCTCGATCTGCTTGTTCAGCGAGTGTCTGCAGTGATCAGGAGTGTGTATTCCAGCGACAGAAGAAGAGCAATGGGCTTCCGCAAGAAGAACAAGAGTCCGCCCGTGCTGAGCCATGAGTTTGTCATCCAGAATCACGCGGATATGGTGTCGTGTGTGGCCATGGTCGTCCTGCTGGGACTCATGTTCGAGGTCTGAGCTCACTCCTAAACACACACCACAACATCTGTCATCAGTGTTGAATCTGTATCATACACACTAGAACATCTGTCATCAGTGTTGAATCTGTATCACACACCAGAACATCTGTCAATAGTGTTGAATCTGTATCATACACACCAGAACATCTGTCATCAGCGTTGAATCTGTATCATACACACCAGAACATCTGTACCCAGTGTTAAATATGTATCAAACACACCATAACATCTGTAATCAGTGTTAAATGTGTATCATACACACCATAACATCTGTAATCAGTGTTGAATGTGTATCATGCACATCATAACATCTGTCATCAGTGTTGAATCTGTATGATACACACGATAACATCTGTAATCAGTGTTGAATTTGTATCACACACACCATAACATCTGTCATCAGTGTTAAATATGTATAAAACACACCACAACATCAATCAGTGTTGAATGTGTGTCATACACACCATAACATCTGTCATCAGTGTTAAATGTGTATCATGCACACCATAACGTCTGTAATCAGTGTTAAATGTGTATCATACACACCATAACATCTGTAATCAGTGTTAAATATGTATAATACACACCATAACATCTGTAATCAGTGTTAAATGTGTATAATGCACACCATAACATCTGTAATCAGTGTTAAATGTGTATCATACACACCATAACATCTCTCATCAGTGTTAAATATGTATAATACACACCACAACATCAATCAGTGTTGAATGTGTATCAAACACACCATAACATCTGTAATCAGTGTTAAATGTGTATCATACACACCATAACAACTGTTATCAGTGTTAAATGTGTATAATGCACACCATAACATCTGTTATCAGTGTTAAATGTCTATCATACACACCATAACATCTGTCATCAGTGTTAAATGTGCATCATACTTCATACACACCATAATATCTGTCATCAGTGTTAAATGAGATGAACATAGAGATGTTCTCAACTTCCTCTCAACTTAAACTTCCTTAAAAACTATATTCTATCTAAACTATAACAACTTTCTTTAAAATCGAGTCTCTGTTTCTGTACTAATATTGCTGCAGTTTGTACAAACCCGATTCCAAAAAAGTTGGGACACTGTACAAATTTTGAGTAAAAAAAGAATGGAATAATTTAGAAATCTCATAAACTTATATTTTATTCACAATAGAATATAAATGACATATCAGATGTTGAAAGTGAGACATTTTGAATTGCCATGCCAAATACTGGCTCCTTTTGGATTTCATGAGAGCTACAAATTCCAAAAAAGTTGGGACAGGTAGCAATAAGAGGCCAGAAAAGTTAAATGTACATATAAGGAACAGCTGGAGGACCAATTTGCAACTTATTAGGTCAATTGGCAACATGATTGGGTATAAAAAGAGCCTCTCAGAGTGGCAGTGTCTCTCAGAAGTCAAGATGGGCAGAGGATCACCAATTCCCCCAATGCTGAGGCAAAAAATAGTGGAGCAATATCAGAAAGGAGTTTCTCAGAGAAAAATTGTAAAGAGTTTGAAGTTATCATCATCAACAGTGCATAATATCATCCAAAGATTCAGAGAATCTGGAACAATCTCTGTGCATAAGGGTCAAGGCCGGAAAACCATACTGAATGCCCGTGATCTTCGGGCCCTTAGACTGTAATGGAAATCACAACATGGGCTCAAGAATACTTCCAGAAAACATTGTCAGTGAACACAATCCACTGTGCCATTCACCGTTGCCGGCTAAAACTCTATAGGTCAAAAAAGAAGCCATATCTAAACGGGAACCAGAAGCGCAGGCGTTTGCTCTGGGCCAAGGCTCATTTAAAGTGGACTCTAGCAAAGTGGAAAACTGTTCTGTGGTCAGACGAATCAAAATTTGAAGTTCTTTTTGGAAAACTGGGACGCCATGTCATCCGGACTAAAGAGGACAAGGACAACCCAAGTTGTTATCAGCGCTCAGTTCAGAAGCCTGCATCTCTGATGGTATGGGGTTGCATGAGTGCGTGTGGCATGGGCAGCTTACACATCTGGAAAGGCACCATCAATGCTGAAAGGTATATCCAAGTTCTAGAACAACATATGCTCCCATCCAGACATCGTCTCTTTCAGGGAAGACCTTGTATTTTCCAACAAGACAATGCCAAACCACATACTGCATCAATTACAACATCATGGCTGCGTAGAAGAAGGATCCGGGTACTGAAATGGCCAGCCTGCAGTCCAGATCTTTCACCCATAGAAAACATTTGGCGCATCATAAAGAGGAAGATGCAACAAAGAAGACCTAAGACAGTTGAGCAGCTAGAAGCCTTTATTAGACAAGAATGGGACAACATTCCTATTCCTAAACTTGAGCAACTTGTCTCCTCAGTCCCCAGACGTTTGCAGACTGTTATTAAAAGAAGAGGGGATGCCACACAGTGGTAAAAATGGCCTTGTCCCAACTTTTTTGAGATGTGTTGATGCCATGAAATTTAAAATCAACTTATTTTTCCCTTAAAATTATGCATTTTCTCAGTTTAAACATTTGATATGTCATCTATGTTGTATTCTAAATATAATATTGAAATTTGAAACTTCCACATCATTGCATTCTGTTTTTATTCACAATTTGTACAGTGTCCCAACTTTTATGGAATTGGGTTTGTACTAAAATGGCACATATATTTGATGTGGTGCTGTTAATATTGTGGCTTTTGCTATTTGTTTGTGTATGTATTCATACGATTTTGTTTTATTGCAGGTGACAGCAAAGTTCGCCATCATGTTCATCACAGTCCAGTATAACGTCACGCAGAGCCTGGAACCAGGTACGGCTAGATCTGTCAGCAATGCTGAGTGACGAGCGTCAGGTCCAAGCTGACACACACCTGACCACAACTGAATAACTCGAATGAAAGACCCGGTTGTCTGTGTGTGAACACTTCTCCCGTGTGACTGAAGTATCGTTTAGACTAAGACTGAGTCAATAGTTTAGATTCTAGTTCCTGAGATTAGAAGTCTTCACAGGTCCACTTTCATCCGAAAACCCAAGACTGGTTCGGGAACAAAACTGGGACGCGGGTCGAGGGTGATAGTGGGAGCTTCGTTTCTCGGATAATGGAAAAAGAAGAAGAAAAAACGTGCTTTTACCATATGGACCTGAAAAGAATAGATTTTTTTAACTGCATATAAACCTAAAAATAAACATATTTTTCGTTTAAAGATATCTTAAAACAAATATACATTGATTAATTTTATGACCATTCGTCCCTCTTCTCTGTCAGTCTGCACTTCAGTGTGGAAATGCTGCACAATTCTGGATGAAGTCAAAATGATTGTTTTTTGTTTCAGTCTGAGATCATGAAGCTATGACAGCTTGTTTCCACCACAGGATGAAAAATAATAGCAGTAATTGAGACTTTTTTTAATCACAATTGCGAGTTCACATCTCAGAATTGCCTGATATAAAGTCGCAATTTTGTGTTAAAATAAAGTTGTGAGATATAAACTTGCAATTCTGAGTCTTTTAAAAATGCTTAATTCATTTCAATGAATTATCTGAAAGACATCGGTTTGAATGATTCATAAATGCTTCACGTGTTTCACTACTGGATGAATCGCTTTTGAATGAATCTCTTGGAACAGAAAATGCTTTTTAAAAATGATTTATTTATTTATTTAAATTTTTATTTTTTTATAAAGTCTGTTTTGTGAGGAGTCTACAGACGATACAGTTATTCCAGCTCACGGAGTGTGTTTTGCTGCCGTGACCTTTCACCCCTCGCCCAGTTTCCCCTCATCCGATAAGAAATGGACGAGGACATCACAGGTCCTGCTAATCCTCCCGTTAGTGAGAAGTGTGTCTAGACGAGCTGCACTGTGTGGACCCTGACGAGTGCACATGAATGTGTGTGTGTTTAAAGCAGCACACAGTGTTCACTGTGTCGTGTTGGTTGCTTCAGATGCAGAGGACAAGCCTGAGCCGATGAACCTCTACAGGTACGGCCCGCGGGACATCGCCACGGTGTTCTTCTACCTGCTCATCGCCGTCATCCTGCATGCCCTGATCCAGGAGTACGTCCTTGATGTGAGTAACGCCTCACACTCCGCCCGTGACAGGACAGCACGTGTTTAACGCTGTGTTTCATGATCCTCTGTAGAAAAGCCTTCTTTCCTCTCAGGACATCACACACACACACACACACACACACACACACACACACACACACACACACACACATACTTCATGTCTCTGTTTTCAGTTAAACTGTTTACTCATCAGTGCAATTGGTACAATACATAAATAATGTGTTTTTAATAGAAATATTTATTTTTACTTTTAAAAGTGCAAAATGATTTGTGTGTGTGGAGAGAGATTTACTCAGTGCCGTAATATTGTGGCACATTTTTTTAAAGAAATCATTACAATAAGATTTGCTCAAGAAACATTTATTAATGTTGAAAACAGTGTGTGTGTGTGACTGAACTAAAGATGCACCAATAGAAACATTTATTATTAATGTTGAAAACAGGTGTGTGCGTGCGTGCGTGTGTGTGTGAGAACTAAAGATGCACCAATAGAAACATTTGATAACCGATAATTCTTTATATTTGAAAGCCTATAACCGATATATTGGCCGATAAATGTAAATCCAATTTGTTTTTTATAAATTCGAGAGTCTGAATACAAAAACAAAGTTCTCAACATTAAAATCTAAGGCCCCGTCCACACTACTGCGTTTTCGTTTAAAAACGGAGACCTTTTGCTACGTTTGCACCTCCCGTCCACACTAAAACGGGAAAAACGAAGACCTAAAACGGAGAAGTTTAGAAACGCTGCAGCTGCGTTTTGCGTTTTGAAACTCCGGAGGGCGTTGTAGTGTGGACGAGACAAAACGGAGGAGTTTACAAACGATGACGCAGAGGCTCACGCTCGGCTCTATGATTGGGTGTCATCAGTCATGACGTTTCCTTCCCTGATTCGCCAAACACTGTTTACACCGGCGCGCGCATGCCCAGTGTTTGTGAATGGTCACGTGATCTGCGTTTTCAGTCATTTTAATGTGGACGGAGATCAATTCTAATACGCAGACAAAACGCTGGTGTGGACGGAGATCGTATTCGTTTTAATTCTCCGTTTTTAAACGAAAACGCAGTAGTGTGAACGGGGCCTAAGTCCCAAGCACACAGTTATAATGTTCTCATGATAGTGTTGTGTAGCCGATACGGCTTGTGCTGCTCAAGTTGCACTGAACTGTATTTTAATTGATTTCAATCATATTTCAATCGATTTAAAAGCATCATGTTGATCGTTGCGCATCTGAAGCGTCTCAGCTGAAGGAAATAACTCATTATATATCGGACAAATCTTCTTATCGTGCCGATAATGATAAGATTGTAAATGATCATATATCTGCCGATACCATATATCCTGCATCTCTAGTGGAAGCCATACATTTTTCAGGATTGTTTAATGAATAGAAAGTTTAAAACAACATTTATATGAGAGTTTTTAGTAACTTGCTCCTTGCTAAAAAAGTAAGGGATAATCCATGTCTAGGTGTGCGTTACACAACTGTAATGCACGACGTGTTGTGCACATTTCTATATTTTATGCAAAAATATTGTGATTTTGTCCTTGACTTCTTGCCATTTCAGGCCTCAAGCCTTTGCCAGACTAATTTTGTATAACAAAGAGTCTTGAAACCAATTTGAATGGCGTGTGTGTACAGACTCGAATGGCAGTAACCCGATTCCTTTCTCTTAGAAAATCAATCGCCGGCTACACCTGTCCAAGACCAAACACAGCAAGTTCAACGAGTCGGGACAGCTGGCCTCCTTCTACCTGTTCTCCTTCATCTGGGGCGTCAGCATCCTCACCAATGTGAGACGGCGGGACATCACCACTCACTTACCATGCACACACACACACACTCTCTCTCTCGCTCTCTCTCCCTCTCTCTCACACACACACACACACACACACACACACACACACACACTAACGTACTGGTTTTCTGTCCACAGGAGGAATTTGTGACCAATCCAACCTTTCTTTGGGAAGGCTATCCTCATATCCACATGGCGTGAGTGTTGAATCATGTGACCATTTCATTCTAACAGCCTTTAGAAAAATGTGTCCAATCGCTGATAAAAGTCAGACACATGATTTGAGGCACCGTTCATGTCTAATTCTGACTAATCTAAGTATGCACAATAGTAATAGTGATCGTTTCTCTATCAATCCTGCAATGTTAGTGCTTTATATCTGTTAAGGCCAACTCTTAGAGAACAGAACAAATTGTTACAGTGAACATCCTTTTCTTCATTTTAACCCGAAACTCTATTTTGTTTTTATTTTTTGACAAATTGAGTGTTCATCGGAGGGGTCCAAGACCTCTGGTCTTTTGTTGCACTGGAACCACGAATACAAAAAAGGGGAGGGGGAGTTTGAACAGATCCTTCACTTGCAGGCCAAATTTGACCCTGTTGGTAATTAATGTAAATCGAGGAATTCTTCAGTACACACAGAATAACCTAAAAATACCTCAACTTTAAAAAAAAATTTTTTTTTATAATGCTGAAGGGAACTTACTTTAGGACCCAGAGGAAAAGCTCATTTACTCCATATAGAGCTATAACGCCATCTAGAGTCATGAAATACCATGCTATTATTATTTTCCACAAGTATATGTAAGACTCATAACCAAACCAGGATATTGGTTATGCTTGTAACTGTGAATTATTTAGAATTTAAGTTGAAAGAATGAGAGGAATGTACTTAAATTACTATTTATTTATTGATAAAATGTTGTACGTTAAAGGTAAATAAAATAACAAAATCTCCAATCTCCAAAAAAACTAAACAGAAAAAATAATATCAAAATGAAATAAAATTAGCTTTCTGGCCAAAAAAAGAAAAAGTCTGACTTCTGGGCTTCGATCATTTTGACCCTGGAGGGAAAGATGACGCGTTACAAAGCGCGAGAGAAAGAAGTGTTCAGGATCAGTTCATTCTTATACACTACTCAGAAATACATTTCTCATCAGCTTTAGTAGAAGATATGAACATAATATATCTGTTTTGTTGTTTAGTAAACTTCAATAAACAGTAAAATACATTGAGTGCAACATTGTCCATTTTTGGATCTTAAATGCCTTGTAAATTTAGCTATCCAAAAACAATGAATGATCTACAATCCTCTCTCCATCTCTTAGTTTCCAGGTGAAGTTCTTTTACATCTGCCAGATCGCCTACTGGCTGCACGCTCTTCCTGAACTGTATTTCCAGAAAGTGCGGAAGGTAAGGCTTCGGCCAGGTGTGTGTCGTTGAAGCTGCTTTACAATATGGGGAAACACTTTACAATAAGGTTCATTGGTTAATGACATGAACTAACCATGAGCAATGCATTTGTTACTATTTCTTAATGTTAGTTAATAAAATCCAGCTGTTCATTGTTTTTTCATGTTAGTTCACGGTGCATTAACTAATGTTAACAATTGCAACCTTTGATTTGAATAATCTCTTAGTAAATGTTGAAATTATTATTAACTTATATTAATAAATGCTGTAGAAGTATTGTTCATTCTTGGTTTATGTTAACTAATGTAGTTAACTAACGAACCTAAAGTGTTATTCCAAAATGGTTCTTGTAATATGCAATTAAATTGAAATAGTTTTTTTGTTGTTGTTGTTTCTAGGAAGATATTCCACGTCAGCTCTACTATATTTGCCTTTATATATTCCACATCACTGGTGCCTATGTCCTCAAGTGAGTGCTTTCTTATGAAGTTATTGAGAGCAGTTCTTCTAAATCATCTGTAATGGTGAGAATGATGACCTTTAGAAGGTTGGAAATGAGTCTGAACATCAAACCGGGACTGAGATGAAGGCCATGTTTATTTAGACAACTACAACTCAGACTCTTACACTAAGAAACCGATTTGAGTTCACATGCATTCTGATTGCTTATCATGTTTGATGAGTGCATCAATGGGGGTTAATTAGGGGTTTATAGATGTGTATTTTTGACTGGTTGAAGAGTGAATCTTGCTTGTGTGTGTGTGTGTGTGTGTGTGGTCTCTCAGTCTCCACCGTTTAGGTCTGGTCCTCCTGGTGCCGCATTACCTGGTAGAGCTGCTGTTTCACGCCTCACGCCTCTTCTACTTCAGTGATGAAAACAAGCAGAAAGGGTTCGTTCACTTCCTACTTTGAGCCCTCAAGTCATTGAGCCCTTAAGTCAAGCTTATCTCCGCATTGTTCTTGTCTTATAATCTTATAATCATTTTTTAATAACGTTATATAACGCCTACTTCCTTTCCCCACACATGCTTCCTCTGTGGGACTGTTAAAGTCCTCCTGTAGTCGATCATTTCATCCTTTAGAACTCATCTTTGATCACCAAAATAACATTTAAACTTTTTTTCCTTGAAAAAAAATTTGTCATGTCTTAAAGTAGCTTGACTGTAACTAGACCCTTTCCTCATTTAGTCTTTTTGGTTCTATGAATATGCAAATGAGCCCCGCCTCCACTCACTCACTCAGCTCAGAGATACACTCTCCATTGACGATCACACGTTGATTGAATTGAATTGAATTGAATTGAATGCCTTTATTGTCATTGTACTTTACAATACAACAAAATTAGGAGCGCTCTCCATTGGGTGTGTACAATAAATACAATAAATAGTCCTTACAGTACATTTAAAAAAAGAAAGAAGAAAATATATAAATAAAATAGAATAAAAACAATCTAAAATTTAATTAAAAAAATTAACAGTTATCTTGGTGCAAAGAGTGGCATTAAGTGACTGGGTTTATCCAACTATTTGTTTATAAAGACTATTGCATTTGGAAAGAAGCTATTTTTAAATCTGGTGGTACTGGATTGTATAGACCTATAATGCCACTCAGGAAAACCTCAGAGGTTCCTTGTAATCTGATTGGTTACAAGGCCGTTTGTGACGTCAGAAACACCAGCGATTTCAAAAATGAGAAAATACTCAGCAATGCTGTCGACTTATGAAATTACACATGGTTTGTGTTAAAGTGTATTAAAAACACCACATAGACACATAAACAACATTAAAGCTGTATGTTCAGCACTGGGGACTTTAAAGGGTTAATTCACCCAAAAATGAAAATTAAGTCATTATTTACTCACCCCCATGCTGTTCCAATCCCATAAGACTGTATGTTCATCTTCAGAACACAAATAAAGATATTTTTGATTTAATCTGAGAGCTGGATCACTCTTCCATAGAATGCCTAAGGGACTGGCTCTTGACGGCCCATAAAGTCATTAAAGAAAAGGTTTAAATATTCCATGTGGCTACAGCGGTCCCAGAGTGGATAAATCTGAAAACGACACCCTTGCGTTTTCGTGTGTATTCGTATTCGTGCATTTTGTGAAACGATGATGTCATCACACCACGTGTCAGCATTAGTCAGGGGTTCCCACAGGGGGACTTTAATAAAAATGTGCTGTTTCTCTCTCAGGTTCACACTGTGGGCTCTGCTGTTTGTCATCACCCGCCTCCTGACACTCACTGTTTCTGTTTTGACGTTCGGATTCGGCCTGTCCCGCACCGATAACCAGGGGTTTTCCTTAGCGGATGGAAACTTCAATGTGCTCACTGTCAGGTAGGGCATCTCCCACGTGGCTGCTTGCTCAGTGTAATTTACTTTTATTCATTTACTTTTACTAATATAAGCAGTAGACGGATCTAATATTCTAACAGAACAATTACGTGACTGTAAGACTGGATGCATGCTGGGTAACATGCTGGGTGTGCTGACGATCTGGCCATTTTCTCTGCAAGGCTTTCAACGGCTGCTAAATGTATGCTATGATAATGGGATTAAATATGATATAAGAATGAATGTAGGACAAAAGGAGATAATGACCTTCATTAATCAACTTAACAACAGGTTGAACAACAGGCTTAAACAACAGATAAAGTTGGAAGTCATTACTATCGCAGGTGTCAACGTTGCCATCAGGGCTGAACGACTGGTGTCAGTGTAGATGTGTATATTGAGAACAGGAGAGGGCCAAACACCGAGCCCTGAGGCATTCAAGGATTCGCTGGTGTGATGTGACGGTCCTCCGTGACACCTTCACTGGTCTAACAGGGCTCAAACTGCAGTCATTCTGGTGTTAAATGTGTGAGTGTTGGACTGTCCTCTTTCAGGATGACCTGTCTCTCGGCCATCTGCCTGACCCAGGCCTGGGTGATGTGGAAATTCATAAACTTCCAGCTAAAGAAGTGGAGAGAACAATCTCAAATCCAGGCCAGTAAGAAGAAAGCTCTCAGCCCGAAAAGCAGACCCAGCAAGAAGGACTCCAGAGGTGAGTCTTGCCTGACAGACATTTTGCATGGAAATTAGGGGCAGATTTACGCAACACGTTTTTAACTTAAAAAAAAAGAAGTTTTGTTAGGGGTGTAAATCGCAATCATTCGATTAGGGGTGTAAATCGCAATTCATCACAATACGATACGATATTTGCCGATACCTCAAAAAAATTCTGCGATATTATTATGATTTATGGCAAAAGCAGATAACTCCACATTTAATGTTTCAGAGTGAAACAAAGCCAAGTAATTGCTATGATACAAAATAAAACACTTGGTTAACCTTTGCAACGTTAATCTCCTCAGCTGACGTGTGCTTGTCGTTTCTGCTGTAAAAGATGAACTCACAATGCTTCGAGAGTGAAAAATACTGGCTTTTGTGACAAAGGGGTCAGTCAATCTTGTCAGGCATCTATTTCAGTGTCAAAATAAAGGTACCGTATATCGATATTTTATGTGTGGCATCGATGTCGTGTCGTTACCTCCTTTTTCCCATCGCATATTTTAGTAGTCATCATAAATCAGGAATCAATCCAAGGCATAAACACTCAAAATTCATCCTGTCACAACTGTTTTGAAATTGGACTGATTAACAATGGAAACGGTACTTTAAAACCTCCCCCTAATGGGTGGTCACGTTTACTGTGACTGCACTATTTTAAAATCAATATTTTTTGCATTTTGAAAAAAATGTATCATTGGAAAGAGTCAAGGTTACATATTTGGCCTCTGATTTGTGATATGACAGAAATGTAAGAATTCATTTTACTAGAGGAACAGAGAACCGCACGATCAAGGCATTTGCCTTGATGGAATATATTATTTCTGTCCTTCCTTCGCTAAGCCCCGCCCTCTCTAGTTACTGTTGCTATGCCTGTCAAGCTTTCGCGTCTGGAACATCCATAGATATGTATATGAAGGCTAGATGTGTCGTCAGCGCTGCTGGCCAATGGAGGTCGTCGTCTGCACCTGGCGGCCATCTTGTCACAGGCAGCTTGCTCACTCGTAACATTGTGGTAATGGTACATGTACTATTTAAATAACAATAACTTGCTCAATTTTCTACCGATTTTCAAACGTTTTGGTTTGTTATAAACGTCAGAGATATAGCTATGACACTGCATACTTATGAATAATAAGTGTGTAAATAAATAATCATCCAGATAATTATAGCCACGTTAATAATGTTTGTAAGAAACCAAACCGTTTGTAAATCCGTCAAGATTTCAACGAGATAAGAGTATTTGTGTTCGTGCTGACCACTCATCTTACATCAGCTTGTCTGTGACAAGATGGCCGCCGGTGATGACGATAGAAACTCCGCCGTAACACATCTAGCCTTTAGTTTATATACATATCTACTAGTGTTGTCAAAAAACTCGGTACTTCGGTACCAAGTCGGTACTAAAAAAAAAAAATGTTGCGGTACCAGCTTTTCTAGGTACCGAGTACCAGGTAAATCCAGTTCTGTTCTAGACGCGATGTCTGAAACGTGCACAGTTGCGTCCTCTTTATAATGCTGATATGGCTCTCTCTCTCTGAATCCACTTGTTGAAACGAAAGGAGGAAAGAGCCACATATGGAAATATTTTGGATTAGGCTAATGTCACGTCGCCATAAGAGGCCGATTACATGCAAATTCGCAATTTCAAATATAGGCGCGATTCAAGCGCGCTCATAATAAAAACTCGTTGGCGTTGCATAGCAACGACAGACGCCGCGTGAGAGCAAGCGCTTTGGAAAGAATAAGCACGCGCAAAAATATAATTAAAAAACACGCGCGACATGTGAACGGCCTCTAGAGTGCTTTCGGGGTAGTTTTACGAGTACATGAGCACAGTAGTATCCACCCGACACCAGAGTACTACTGGTATTAGTATTGTCATTTAATGTCAGTGCCAGTTCTTGGCGTATTCTTGCCTTTATAACTCAGCAGGTTTAAAAAGCCTTTTTAAAATTAAATATGAATGCAGTTTTAGATTAAATAAAAGGACAGTCAAGTCAAATAAAACATGTTTTATGGTAATGCTACAAAGATACCATTCATCAACATTACTTAGTTATCAACACATTGAGTGAACAATATATTTTTACAACATTAATTCATGTTTGAAAATTTTATTTATTACAAACACCTGATTGTTCATGTTTGTTCACTTAATTCATTGTGCATTAAATAAATAATGGATTAAAACTTTACAAACAACTTTAAAAATGTGTTGGTGTATACTATTGTTTATTTTAGGTCATTTTATGTAATCTTTTTCTAAAGTGTTTATAATACAAATGTACAGTTTCCATACTTGTAACCGTGATAAACACTTAAATATATGTAAATTTAAACCAAGCTTTGGTACCGAAATTGGTACCGAGAACCGTGAATTTTAACTGGTATTGGTACCGAATACTGAAATTTTGGTACCGTGACAACACTAATATCTACAGTGTTGGGAGTAACGCATTACAAAAGTAATACATTACTGTAACATATTACTTTTTGCTGTAACGCAGTAGTGTAAGGCATTACTAATCAATTTTCAGTAATATTTTACTTGTTACATGTTCAGTGAGGCTTGTATTACAGTTGTATTACAGTGTATTGTCTGCTTTTACTTCTTAAAGGCAACAGACTATGTGAAAGTTTTAAAGCAGTCTTTTAGTGCCAGTTCAGAGCGGTCGCGTCTGTAACATTGTTTTTTCCTCATAAATGCGAACACGAAAACTAAAATAAAATGAATATTTTAAGTTCTATGGAGACTGGAGAGCCAACCCTTCCTCATCCGATTTGCGCAGTGTAATTAACAGAATTACAAAAAATATATTTTGCCTCCTATTTTTTTGTCACGCATGAATGTGTGTCTTTTCCCTAACATTAAAAATAAAACATAGATAACTGATATTTGTCTAATGTCTGGAGTCCTTTAAGCAGGGCTCAACATAAAAAAAAATCCCCACTGGCCCCCGGGGCCAGTAGATCAGAGTTTTGCTGGCCCCTTCTATATTTTGACTGGCCCTGAAAGAAATACAAGGAAAAGCACTTTTCCATTAAACTGTATTTATTGTATATATTAGGATTAATCAAAACAGTGAAGGAAGTTTAGGAATTAAGAGAGAGACCCTGGAGACATGCAAAAATAACCTAATTTCAGCGTCCAGTAGATTATTTGTCAATACCTGCTCTCTCCTCATCTCGATCACTCACTCTCTCTCTTTTTCCCTCAGTCTCCTCATCTTACTTATTAAAGCTAAAGTTATTCATTCAAGAGCAGTGAGTGATTTTCTTTTTGCCTTTAGTTGTTTGATTCGCAGTAATGTCGCAATCGTCCAGTAGTGTGTACCCTTCTCCAATCGTCCGCATATTAGACAGCTTCCCCTTTAAGAACTAGTGCAGATGTAAGTCTACTGATGCACCATTATTTTCTCCCAACTATTTCCATAACTGCGTCCATTTTAGACATAAACTGTTTAAGTGAATCTCCAAGCCAGTCATTTTGACACATTGTTGTGTACATTTGATCGCTTAGACGCTCACATGAAGCCCAAAGTATATACTTATCTCGTTGCGGTCTGTTCCGCAGCGCGCGCCGCATCGGGAACAGCATCTGTTGCGCTTTTTGTGCTTTTAATAGCTCTTTTTATTATTAAACGCGCCCCGCAATTTAGCAACAGAAGTGACTGCATTTTACAACAATCACCGATCGTGCTGATTCTGTATTAAAGTTTGAGTTAAGGAGAAATGACAGCGTGCTACTGTACTGCTGTGATGGGAAGGACGTTGCGCTAGACAGAATGCAGTTGTACCTCAAATATATTCTATAATCTTTGGAAGCTGAAATCTAAAATAAAATCATATAATTATTATATCACAGATCTAAAGTGTAACCATAACTTGAATGTTTAGTTCTGTCCTCCGTCAGGTGTTGTGCGCGCTGTGGCGCCGCGTGAGATCTCTCTCTCTCTCTCTCTCTCTCTCTCTCTCTCTCTCTCTCTCTCTCTCTCTCTCTCTCTCTCTCTCCCTCTTCTGGACTGCGCGAATAGCAAAATGCATCACAGACAAATGGTTTAATTGTATTAAATAGGCCTGGCTGGCGACTCAGCGAGATGGTTCATTTTTTTTATAGCAATAATAAATGATAGCCTACAGGTATTTCTCCAGCGACAGCAATAACGTCCGCGCTCATCGATACAGCGGTCTTTCAAAATTCAGTCCCGTTTAATACCGAGCACCCATCCATCCCTACCAGGTGTACTGTGTTTTCCATGACTCTAGTAATGTCCAGTAGTTCTTTGGCAGTCTCGTAGTTCTTTGGCATTTTAACATTCACACTCTTCGCACCACACTGTGTGACGTTTGCTGTTTGTTTTGCTGATCGCCAGTTACTGGCCCGCGCGGGCAAGTGACTGGCCAATCAACTAGCCCGACATACTCTTTTACTGGCCCCGGGCCATCGGGCCATTGCTTATGTCGAGCCCTGCTTTAAGGAAGTAGCCTATATACGTTTCAATACATGTATTTTCTGAGAATTTTTATTTCAAGTTTTGACTGCAAATGTAATGTCCATAATGCTGGACTTCCCCAATTTTAAATAATTCATCCTCAACTAGTTTTGTGGTTAACTTCAAATGTTAACTTCAAATAATACTAATAGCCTAATTTAAAGATAAGGCAGCATTGGATCTGGACGGTAAGGAGAATAATGCTGGGAGTTGGAAGAGGTGTGTCGCGATTCTGTAGGTTCGTGGATCTGAGTCGTGTGGCGAATGGCGATTTCGGTTTCATTTCGTTACAGCCCAAAAGTTAAGTTCTACTTAGTTATTTTGGTGAAAGTAACTCAAAAGTAATACATGAGTAATGTAACGCATTACAATTCTGAGACAGTAATATTGTAAGGTAATGAATTACTTTTAAATAAAAGTAACAAGTAATACCTAATGTATTACAGTTTGGAAGTAACTTGCACAACACTTCATATCTATGGGCACATCTATTATAGCGTGGATGCACCGATGTCAGACATTCCCAATGAGATAATTAGTCATTTTCGGCGAACAAGTGAGATATCTGTGAGAGCAAGACAAAAGGGACTGCAGTATTCCATTCGAGGGATATATTCACGACATAATATGCAATCTATTAGAGAATAATTTCTTAAAAATTGAAGCTAAAGCCTATAGTCCCAACGCAGGCAGCAGCCGCCTCATGTGCTGACCATTCAAATGGGAAACACAAATTGAGGAACAACTATGCTCGTGCACAGCAGGGTATGTGAAAATAATCCTAATAATTATAAATCAAACAGCTTATCCATAAATCTTGTGGAATAACACTAATACCGGGAGAGCCGCGATCGGATTAGGTTAAAGTTAGTCAGGGGTATTAGGACGTCGATTAACAAAATGCTGAAATATATTTTAGACATAGACCTATTTTGTCAGTGAGCCTCCGTCTTGTCTTTAATAGTCTTATTTTACGTTATATCTTTGTGACCAAAGAACCGTCAATATTTCCAAGCAATAGGTGCTTTTGTTAATTATGTCGACGTTTACGGGTAGTTGTGAATGGGTCTCCCACTGCTTGATCACGCCCATCATTTCTCCCCTTGGCTTTTAGATTTTCTGGAAGGAAAACAATTCCTCTCCCCTGTCCAAACTTTTAGGTTACCGGTATCAGATTTGCACAATCCATACCCCCAATGCTTCAGCATGTTTCCCTCGCTCGAAAGCTTGCCAGACCTCCCGCGCATAGTTACGATTGCTAAGACACGATTGGCCAATGGTGGTTTTCGGGCGTGGCTTAGCGAAGGGTCAATTGAATGCAGAGGCATTTTCTTCCCTGGTTTGGTTGAATCGCCCCATAATCACAGCCCAATGGAGCAGACTCACATTCTGACTAGACTAGAGTACTACGACATCAGGCTAGCATTTTTGTGATATCAACTTCAAATCTGAAACACATCTCGGGTAGACTTTAATTTTTCAGTCTAAAGAAAGCATGCAGAACAATTTTTTATTATTATTTTTTGACAAAATGCCACTACCAGGAAATGCCTCTGATCCAGACATGCACAGTGGCGTTGAAATTCCTCCGTTTTCCTTCTTAACGCTGTTATTTCTTGTTGGCAGGGGGTTCAGTGAACGGAGTCATGAAGCCGGACGACAAGACGTCGCCCAGAGCCAGAAAAGCTAAAGCCTCGTAAGAGGGAAGAGACCCGAAGTGTGATGCTCGGTTTCCACTCTGAACTTAAGTAAAGAAACAGATCGATAACTGCGAAACGAACCACAAACTAAGGAACTAAGTTGTACGGCATGGTTCAGGTGTAATTTTTCATTTTCAAAAAGAACTATAGATTTATAAGCATTCGTTATATCCATTTGCTCGTGACTTCTGGTAAGAGTGTGAGGTTTTCTGAATGGTTTGTGCTGGACATGAAGAGAGATGTTGCAGTTGCCTGATCCGCGGGCATCCTCAACTTCGACTCGAGTGTCTGCACAATGCAAATATCTCTGTGTGTCTTGCTGAGAAGTTAATCTGGCCCTGAGCTTAATACAATTAACCCCTATTGGCCATCATCTCTGTGCTTCTCATGAAACACCCCGTGTGGATAGAAGCATTGAGTCCCGGTTGTTGACCACGATCCCCTCCGTGCTTACGCTACGATGAAGCTCAGTCTGAGGTGGCGAAGGACTGGTCACCTGACACACAACACATCGGTTTCATGTAGCTTTTAAATGACCTTTGCTGTGTAATTTTACATTTAAACACTGGAAGCAGGAACCACTGATTTTAGGCTCCGGTTTCAGTGTTTTACTGAGTGTGAATGTCGTTTAAGGCGAATCTTTTTGTGATTGTTAGTAACCGTTCTGGGGGTGTTTGTGTGTGTTCGTGGACAGTTGTTGAGGTGGTTGATGACGGCTCCCCCTGCAGGCTTGGATGATTCATTGATTTAAGGGTTGTAATGCCTTTTTTTCTTTTTTGCATTTTGCATCAGCGCATGATTTACCTCTTGTCCATGATACTGCCAAATGTTCGGTCATCATCATCATGAAAAAATCATCTAGTTCGTCACGACTGTTTCCCGAAACCGTATTGTCACAAAGTTGTCGTTCAACCACGTTGGTTAATGACGTGTTGGAGTAATAACTACTTTTAACAGATCTGTTGAGATCGAATTAATGCTAGATGTTTTGATATAAATTACAGACATCTGAGGACTATTTCCAATCATTCTCAGTTATTTCGCTTAATTTCCAGATTAAATCATAGACTCTTTCTTACACACTAGAGCACGTTCACACATGCGCAGTTTTTAAAAACGACGCTTTAAATCTCTTGACAAACTAAACAATGTAAATGATATCTGTATGTATTCTAAATCAAATATACAGATTGTACTGAATATCAGGTGTTTATTTTGCTCAAGATTTGGATTTATTGAGTCCACATGTCATGCAAATCAGAAACTCTGCTTCTAACCGCAGATCGAGAGCTGTCGTAACCTGTGAGATGTTGATGACGATCTGCGTAAGACGTGACATAACCTGTGAGATGTCGATGACGATCTGGGTAAGACGTAACATAACCTAAGAGATGCCGATGACGATCTGCGTAAGACGTGACATAACCTGAGAGATGTCGATGATGATCTGCGTAAGACGTGACATAACCTGAGAGATGCCGATGACGATCTGCGTAAGACGTGACATAACCTGAGAGATGCCGATGACGATCTGCGTAAGACGTGACATAACCTGAGAGATGCCGATGACGATCTGCGTAAGACGTGACATAACCTGTGAGATGCCGATGACGATCTGCGTAAGACGTGACATAACCTGTGAGATGTCGATGAAGATCTGCGTAAGACGTGACATAACCTGTGAGATGTCGATGAAGATCTGCGTAAGACGTGACATAACCTGTGAGATGTCGATGACGATCTGGGTAAGACGTGACATAACCTGTGAGATGTCGATGACGATCTGGGTAAGACGTGACATAACCTGTGAGATGCCGATGACGATCTGCGTAAGACGTGACATAACCTGTGAGATGTTGATGACGATCTGCGTAAGACGTGACATAACCTGTGAGATGTCGATGACGATCTGGGTAAGACGTGACATAACCTGTGAGATGTCGATGACGATCTGGGTAAGACGTGACATAACCTGTGAGATGTCGATGACGATCTGGGTAAGACCTAACATAACCTGAGAGATGCCGATGACGATCTGCGTAAGACGTGACATAACCTGAGAGATGCCGATGACGATCTGCGTAAGACGTGACATAACCTGAGAGATGTCGATGACGATCTGCGTAAGACGTGACATAACCTGTGAGATGCCGATGACGATCTGCGTAAGACGTGACATAACCTGTGAGATGTCGATGAAGATCTGCGTAAGACGTGACATAACCTGTGAGATGCCGATGACGATCTGCGTAAGACGTGACATAACCTGTGAGATGTTGATGACGATCTGGGTAAGACGTGACATAACCTGTGAGATGCCGATGACGATCTGGGTAAGACGTGACAACCTGTGAGATGCCGATGACGATCTGCGTAAGACGTGACATAACCTGTGAGATGTCGATGAAGATCTGCGTAAGACGTGACATAACCTGTGAGATGTCGATGAAGATCTGCGTAAGACGTGACATAACCTGTGAGATGCCGATGACGATCTGCGTAAGACGTGACATAACCTGTGAGATGTTGATGACGATCTGCGTAAGACGTGACATAACCTGTGAGATGTCGATGACGATCTGGGTAAGACGTGACATAACCTGTGAGATGTCGATGACGATCTGGGTAAGACCTAACATAACCTGAGAGATGCCGATGACGATCTGCGTAAGACGTGACATAACCTGTGAGATGTTGATGACGATCTGGGTAAGATGTGACATAACCTGAGAGATGGCGATGACGATCTGCGTAAGACGTGACATAACCTGTGAGATGCCGATGACGATCTGGGTAAGACGTGACATAACCTGTGAGATGTCGATGACGATCTGGGTAAGACGTGACATAACCTGTGAGATGTCGATGACGATCTGGGTAAGACGTGACATAACCTGTGAGATGCCGATGACGATCTGGGTAAGACGCGACATAACCTGAGAGATCCCGATGACGATCTGCGTAAGACGTGACATAACCTGAGAGATGACGATCTGCTACGTACATGTTTACATTCGCTTCCCTGCGAGTCACATGAGGTGTGAAATCTGGCATGATCTTAATTATATAGTGTGTGATGCACTACAATTTTCAAATCTTGGAGTGTGTGTGTGTGTGTGTGTGTGTGCATGTTTTAAGATTCGAGAGAAAGAACCGGATTTCACAGTCAGTTAGGATTTTAAGTCTCCTGTAGTCTGAGCCTGACTTAACATGACGATAACAGTTTTGTTCCTCTGGTGAGTCGTGCCGTGATGTGACCAGGGAAAGGGGGTTCAGATGAAGTCGTGGTGTCGGTGTGAACAGCTTTTACAGTGCGAGCTGGAGGTGAATCTTCTGTCAGCTCGCTTTCTGATTGGGTACCGCTTAGTTTCACGTGATAAGTCTTCTGTCAGCTAACAAACAACATGTTGAAATCAGGATTGCGAGATATAACATGCAATTGTAATTTTATAAAGTCAGAATTGTGGGGGGGGGAAACATGCAATTGTGAGGAAAAAGTCATTTTCCTTAGAATTGGATTTTATAACTCACAATTGACTTTATATCTCGCAATTCTGACTTTATATCTCGCAATTCGGACTTTATATCTCCCAATTAGGACTTTACATCTCGCAATTAGGACTTTATATCTTGCAATTCTGAGTTTATATCTTGCAATTTTGAGTTTATATCTCGCAATTCTGACTATATCTCGCAATTCTGACTTTATATCTCGCAATTCTGACTTTATATCTCACAATTAGGACTTTACATCTCGCACTTCTGACTTTATATCTCGCAATTAGGACTTTATATCTCGCAATTATGACTTTACATCTTGCAATTATGACTTTACATCTCACATTTATGACTTTACATCTCACAATTATGACTTTATATCTCGCAATTCTGACTTTACATCTCGCAAATCTTGACTTTATATCTCGCAATTCTGACTTTATATCTCGCAATTCGGACTTTATATCTCCCAATTAGGACTTTACATCTCGCAATTAGGACTTTATATCTTGCAATTCTGAGTTTATATCTCGCAATTCTGACTATATCTCGCAATTCTGACTTTATATCTCGCAATTCTGACTTTATATCTCGCAATTATGACTTTACATCTCGCAATTATGACTTTATATCTCGCAATTCTGACTTTAAATCTCTCAATTCTGACTTTATATCTCGCAATTCTGACTTTATATCTTGCAATTCTGACTTTATATCTCGCAATTCTGACTACATCTCGCAATTCTGACTATATCTCGCAATTCTGACTATATCTCGCAATTCTGACTTTATATCTCGCAATTCTGACTTTACATCTCGCAATTATGACTTTACATCTCGCAATTATGACTTTATATCTCGCAATTCTGACTTTACATCTCGGAATTCTGACTTTATATCTCGCAATTCTGACTTTACATCTCACAATTCTGACTTTATATCTTGCAATTATGACTTTATATCTCGCAATTATGACTACATCTTGCAGTTCTGTTTTTACATCTGGCTATTCTGACTTTACATCTCGCAAATCTGACTATATCTCGCAATTATGACTTTATATCTCTCAATTATGACTTTACATCTTGCAATTCTGACTTTATATCTCGCAATTCTAACTTTACATCTTGCAATTATGACTTTATATGACGCAATTATGACTTTACATCTCGCAATTATGACTTTATATCATGCAGTTGTGAGAAATAAAGTCAGAATTGTGAGGTGTAAACCCACAATTGTGAGACAAAAAGTCGCAATTATCTTTTAAAATGTGTTAGTCTGAGGTGTAAACAAGCTTCACACCACAGGAAGATCTGCCAAGATGGTCTGTAGAGTCTAAAGTCTTTAATATGACTTGTGCAAGTGTGGATTTGATGATCTTTAATGATGACCAATGTGCATGTGGAGTTTTTCTGTGAGTTACACCTGTTCTTCTACGAGGAGCCTCCTTTCCAACACTGTGGCCTTTCCCCTTCAGTCTGAGTGATGTGTGTGTGTGTGTGTGTGTGTGTGTCTCCTCTAACTCTGAAATCCACGCTAGTGTCTGTCAGCTGCGATGTGAAGCTCACATGAAACCATACGATTCTTTAAGTGTCCTTAAGCTAACAACAGTAGAAGGTGCGGTCTTTCTCGGTTTAAACTCTTTCTGCGTCTTTGTTGCGTGTTTATTAGTGTGATGAGAGATTTTGATTAGTCTTTATCCTTGTTGAAATGCCGTGAATGTGTGCATGTTGCGATATGTGAAAGATTTGCCTCGTTGAGAGCATTTAATGCCTAATAGCAGAAATAAAACCATAGGCCTGGAATCAAAACTGCTGTTCTGTTAAACTTCTTTTTCTTTTCTTTTCTGCATAATCAAGCATGTAAGCAAGACACAAGCTGCCAGTTCACTTCATTTATTGTGTGAACCCAGCCTTCACACACAGACACACATGCACGCATGCTATTGGATTATTACACAGATTCACACACATTGTGGTGTATATTAGTTGCCAAATTGATTATAAGGGACTTTCTCAAATGGTTTTGTCTGTTCACATTAGAAATCATGTTTGGTTTGGCTTTAGTTCAGCACATATGTGAAAAGCAGACAGTTTCTTGAGCAGAGATCACACAGAAACATTCATGGTGAGCTTGGTAATGCTCAGAGGTCGTTCTCAATTCAGGGTTTAAACTGCGATCTGTTGGTGATGTTTTGAAATAACACACCTGTACAGATACGCCTCGCACATTTTGTTTGTAATGCAAAGCTGATTCCTGAAATTCAAGTTGGTGCTGGTTCTTGTCTAACACATGTTGTGTTTGAGGGCAGGAGGTTTGATAACATAATAAAATATCCCATGATTACACAGAAGGGTTTGGTTTGTGTCCCAAAACTCCAACTCACCCCCACATCCAATCTTTATTTGTTTATTTTTTTCTTCTTGCTGATCGATGCTTGGCAAACTAAAGACAAAAGAAAAAATATTAAATAAAGTCATTCACTACTGAATAATTGTCAGATTTGTAAACTATTTTTATACCGTTTGAAATGTTGAGAGATGAACATTTATTTAGAGCATATAAATATTTTACTGCTTTATGGGTTTATTATTTTTATACTGTGTGGGAGAAGCTTTCTACCATTTCAGTGGAACTGCAAAATGATAAATACTTCTAGTGACTATAGATATTGTGAAAAGATTCATACATTACTGCTGCATTTCCTGATGTGTCACTGTTTTTAATTTGGGGGAATAAAAAGTTATTTTAGAGTCTGTAATCTGTATGATAAGTCTTCATTTTGTGTTGTTTGAGTAATGGGATTCTAGTGGATAAACACTCATACTCATTGTTCTGTCACTCTAATGGAGAAATGTGCTTTTTTTGATGTGACTTAATTGTTTTTATTTTGTGTATATAAATGTAAATGGAAAAAAATTTAATTCACTACAATATTTGCAGTGATCATTCATCATCACAATTACTCTGATATCCGTCAAATTAAAAAATGCACCAAAGCCTTCTGAAATAGCAGATACACAGATTTACATTTACGCTGTTACTTTTCTAATGCTTGCCTGTATGTTGATATGTATAGTTTGTTTATACATTTAAAATATATATATATATATATAATACATTTATTTATGCAAGTCTGTGTGATGCTTTTTGTATGTTCTTTGATTAAACTTTTTGCTTAACCCTAGTTTTGATCATTTTGACCCCATGTATTTTTGTTGTACAGTGGAGGTTATTAAAAATACAGCTTTAAATCTCTAGATGACAACATGAAGTTTTGAAAATGTCAGCTGAATATAACGGCATATAAAGTGTACTGTTGTCTCAAAATAACATGCGAAAGATTTTTTCCTTTTTACTACACACAAATTGATTGATTGTTATTGTAATTAGTTAGGTATCGGCTATGTAACACTTGAGCGGCATAAAAGCCTGAGCTTTAACTACCAACATACGTCCAGTTGAGGCGAATTCAGTTTCTTTTCAAATGACTGGATCGTTTACCTCAGTCCTAAAGTCCTTATTTTTAGATATCTGGAATGGCATATTTTAGCTCAAGAACAAGTAACTTGTAGCGTGTGACAAACAAACTACTTAACAGTGTAATAATTAATAAATTCATTGTAAATAATGACACTGACAAACGCTAACAGCTAGTGCTGGTAAGTCCCGCCCCTTCAGCTAGCCCCACTGGACCTCTAGGTTGAAAAATCGTCAATGCATGTAAATGAGAGAAAATAATTATTTTCTAATCCCGTTTGAATTTTGCAATGAATGCGAACATATGTTGTCTGTGAATTTTTTAGATAATGTTTCGTGTAAATAATGCAACAATTTAGTGGGTAGAATTTTCATAAGGTTAGACTTTGTGTGAGAGCACTTTGTGGACTACAACTCTTTTGACGTGTTTGATATACATCACACCGACCCACCAGAGCCATGTATTCAGATGGCTCTGCGACCCACCACAGCACACGGATCCCGCTAAACATGCCTGTGTCTTTGGTGCACTTCACCGCCTTCTTTCAGGGAGAGGACAAACTAGTTGAGCGTGGTGAAAACCGTGATTTGTGGAGGGAAAATGTGTTATGCGGCGACGTCACATATGCGACCTGTAGTCTTTCTACATCAAACTCGTTACATGAGAAATTATATAAAAAAAAATCACAGACAACATATGTTACATTCATGGCACAAATCAAACGGGGTCAGAAAATAATTATTTTCTCTCATTCACTTGCATTTACGCTTTTTCAACCTAAACTCTAGAGGTCCACTTGGAGTTTTATGGATGGGCGGGACTTACCAGCTCTACTTGACCAATCACAGACATCTCTCGGCCCGGTAACTCCGCCCATTTCTGTTCCCCGGATCTGAGTTCTTCCCACACATGTGACGTCATCGCGCGGTCCCGTTGGCATCCAACTACAGCTCGCTGCATCCTGCGGTGGATATCCAACCCGGCCCACATCCAAGTGTGTCGTCATAAGCCACGCCCATCCATGTGTGACGTCGGAAGCCTCGCCCATGTCCAAAGACGGCACGTGACTCGATTTGTTGTGATTCGTGTACGCATGCGCAAAATGCCGCTGCTTCCTGTCGGAATATGTTTATGGATGTTATCATAGTTATTGGTTTATAATAAAGATGAGGTTATTTGTGTAGAAATGTGGCACTACAGATTATTGGTGCAGTTAAATTGTGACGCTTTGGCAGGCTTGGAATCGTCTAAATCACAATCACTCCCTTAACAGATGTATTAGACAATACGTTAACGTTACCTCTGCATTGCTGACTGGTTTTGTAAGTTAATGACATATAGTACAAGTAAACAATGTACCGTACAACGATATATTTGTATTTCTCTTGCATTTCTGTTACAAATGGTAATCAATAATCATGGTTTTGCTATAATAAACGTATAAGGGAGCATCTATACTTAAACTAAAACGAGTTTTATCACTTTCTTAATTATATGGGATCCAAACTGCACTTATAGTTATCCCTTCTAAAAATAATTTACATTTTTTTTAAACATTGCTTTCTATGTGGTTATAGAAATATTGCATTTTTACAAATTAAGAATTCACCTGTTAATGCCTGTTATAGCAAATTACTTTGAAATCAAATAATAGAACAGCAGAATGGAATTTATGTAAACCTTAAATTAAAGAACCAATATGGTGAAACTCGAAAAAATTTGAATATCGTGCAAAAGTTCATTTATTTCAGTAATTCAACTAAAAGCTGATACTAATATATAATATACTCATTAGTCATTATATGCAAAGTGAGATATTTCAAGCCTTTATGTGTTATAAATGTGATGATTACGGCATATAGCTATGTTGAATTACTGAAATAAATAAACTTTTGCACAATGTTCTAATACATAAAAAAAACAGTTAATCTCTCGCTTCCTCTTCTGTACTGGTTTTATGAGTTTAACATATCAAAATATCATCATAGTTCAAAATATCTTGGTCACAAATGAATTTTTTAATGTAATATTTTGTGTTAATACATCAATGACCCATTTATGCAAGTGTGATATCTTTTTGTTAAAATAACCAATGTCAGTTGTTCAAAGCAATACATTAACTATACTAAAAATCCCTGCACAATCGGAGGCTGCAGCTTTAGGACCCCAGTTACAGGACTCTTGTTTTAGTTCGAAAGACATTTAATCTCAGGAGTGTTTTTATATTCAATATGTGTTTTTATATGTGTTTTTTTTATTCAAAATGCATCAGAGACATTTACAAAAATGTAAATTTATACAAAACAAATTAAATGTATATCAATCTTTAATCAACTGAAAAGTGGTGTGAGTCTTAGTTTCTTGAATTATACTGTATATTGATTAACCTCCTTAAGTTTAACTAATTTGCTCATTATTAGATAAAATAACGATGGAATCAGCACATGCAGTCACTAAATGATATGGCCAGATATCAGAAGGCAAAACTCGAGAATAATTCAAGCATGAATTTATTTATATATACACATATGTATTTATTCATATTAGGCTATACGAAAGAACAAAATTATTTATGCTAGAACAAAAGCACCAAAAAGCTCCCGTTTTCCACCAGTTGCTGCAGGAATGGCTTCAACTCTGAGAGAGAGAGAGAGAAATACAAATGAGTTTAACATGTTCAACTGAAATTTATATTTCTGATTTAACACTAAACAGTTATGAAATGTTGGAGTTGTAGAGAGAGAAAGTCAAATTGAATATTCATGTTACTGACATAATTCAAAACTCCAAATGTGTAAATGTAAAAGTAACAGCCAACAATTGAATGGTCTCCTTTCTTTCTTCCTCAATGGGCTTTATGCACAGCTGCACTACTTCCTGAACTTCAGCCAGCTCCTTGTTTTCTGTCTGCCATTATTGGTCAAATTGATTAATTCAGGTGTGCTTGACCTCAGTAGTCATGGCAACAATAATCAGACACACCTGAATTAATCAATTTGGCAAATAATGGCAGACAGGAAACAAGGAGCTGTCTTAAGTTCAGGAAGTAGTGCAGCTGTGCATAAAGCCAATTGTTTGTCAATTTGTCAGTTAAAATCTTCCACTTCACTGAAATAGTTATCAGAGACGAGTCACCGTTGTGTTACTGTAACAGAATTATCAGTAACAAAAGGGTGCACTGGGCATTGTGCAAAAATAATGAATAATCCACTCTGACCTGCAATGATAATCCAGACCAGAAAGGAAGACCTGCTCAGCCTCCTGTGAGGAGATATCCCAGCCAGGAGACAGCCAGGGCATTTATGATTGCCTATGAAAAAAGTAAATATAAATGTACAATAATATATCTCATATTCTTTTTCAAGCAGAATAAGATTTACAGGATGTAACGTCACACATAAACACTAAAATAATATATTTTTATATTTACCCTTAATCCAAATAACAACATGAAATTGGTGAAATAGGCTAATAATGCAGTTAGTATAGTAGTATACATAAAATTCTCAGTTGAGAGTATACTGATACAAAATACACCAAGAGACATCACAGGGGAGTTAAATGACCAAATATGCAAGTTGAAGATAATTCATAGCTCTAAAAACACATCATCAAACCTTATTGCTTCGAATCACGTCGATATTTTGACAATTTATTATTACATATCGCGGGGTTTCGCGCTAATTGCGGAGCAGGCGTGCTAATCAAGTGATCAGCCGCACACACATTACAAACTACTAATAAAGTGTTAAGAGCTGCTTACAACAGGTAATCTCATTCTCATACAGCTCATTCGTATTATGTTAAACAGTGTTTATACTAAAACCGCAAGTGTGTTTTGTGCATTTTGTTTCGCAGTTACCTTCGTCTTCTAGTCTTCTCTTGAAAATCTTCTTCTTCCGGTTTTTAAATATTAACGAGAATGTGTCCAATTTGGGCATGGGCGTGGTAGCTTCTGACGTCACACTTGGATGGGGCCGGGTTGGATGTCCACCGCAGGATGCAGCGAGAGGCTTCTCTTGGCATCCGAGCTGCCTGTCAGTGATCATCAGAGATCATCATCATGGCAGGGATGGAGGTTGCACCGCTGAGACCGTGGGATGATTTTTACCCTGGCCTTGACCGATTCTCCAAACCCGATGTGAAAGATTTAAGCAAATGGAATAACAGAGTCATCAGCAACCTGCTTTATTTCCAGACGAATTACTTTGCTGTGGCCATCGTCGTAATGCTGATTGTCGGGTAACGTTAAGTAAATATATTCAATATATCATTCATTATGTAGGCTATATCTATTAGTGAATGCATCATTTAATCTGTTTATAAATTACATAATTACAGAAGCTTGCATACATGGCGCAGCCAGTTCGACTAGAGCAAGATATCCTCCATTGCACCATTATTTCATTTCAGAACGTTAAAGATAGGATTTAAAATCGTAAATCAGAAGAACACCGTATTGTTATTACCAAGACGTGTGAAATATGTCATGTGCGTGTGCAGAATGTGTTTGACAGGGACCCACCCTGTGTCTCTCAACCCTCGATCATGTCAGCCTCGCGCAGGCCTTTTATTTTCCAGCTTTCTGGAATCGGTGAGTCACTTTCTGTGGCAGTGTGGCTGAAAAAAAAGATGACAAAATACTATACACGTGGAACAGTCTGAATTTATTATTAGTAGTAGTAATAATATTAGATTGCTACTACAAATATATGGTAGACTGCAGTGGATATGGTTAAGATGATAGTTTTATCTTTTTTATTGATAGAACTAAACTTTTTTTTAAGTTGGCTTTTGGCTTGCTTAGTTGAACACTCAATATTAACCAATATTATTGATCTGCCTGCATTGACACATTATATGAGAACTGAACTGGACGATGACATCACCGTTTTCTCCAGAGTGGCTAAATTAACTAATTTAATAACTTTTTTACAACAAAAATTAACTATTTCTGAACTTAGAAACAAACTTTGTTGCATTATTTTCCTGTTATCACTGTAAAGCTGCTATGAAACACTCTGTATTGTAAAAAGCATAAATGTGACTTGACTTGAAACATTTTTAAAAGTACATTTTCAATTACACCATTAGGGAAAACATTTAAGTTGTGTCAGTTTGCAATGACACTGCTTTATTTTTGAAAGATAGGAATTAAATCATTAAAGCGTGAAATTTTTCAGATGTATCTCTGGGCTCTGGGCCTTCTAATCATCCCCATATACACCAATTGGCTTCATCACTGTCTCCTCTCCACCAGTAAGCTGGTGTGTGGTGAGCGTTCTGGCGCAATATGGCTGCCGTCGCATCATCCAGGTGGATGCTGCACATTGGTGGTGGTTGAGGAGATCCCCCCCTTCTATGTGAAGCGCTTTGAGTGTCCAGAAAAGCGCTATATAAATGTAACAAATTATTAATTAAATTAGAATGAATGTAAGTAAATCAGTTGTTTCCTCTTGAAGAATGTCGTTAACTAACTTCTGTAATGTTCTAATTGCAAATCAAGGAGTTGTTATATATCTGGTAGTTGTTATATGTAAAGATGCATAATATGCATAATAATTCAAACTTCAATCCAATTATTAAGTATTAGTACAAAACTAGTAAGAGGTTTAATATGTGGTTACAAAGGGATCTGTCAATTCAGGGGCGAGTTCTTTTATCAAAAGCTGAAGGAATCTCCAAATCAGTCTATTGGCGCTTTTCCACTGCATGGTACGGTACGGTTCGGTACGGCACGCTTTGGTGCTTTTCCACTGCATGGTACGGTACGGTACAGCTTGCTTCGGCTCGCTTTAAATAGTACCTGGTCTGTTAAGGTTCCAAGCGTACCGTACCGGTACTAAAATGTGACGTGAAACTCTGCAGATCACTGATTGGTCAGACAGAATCGTCACTACCAGCGTCATTGTATTTGCGACCAATAGACATCGACACAAGAAACCAAACCCGCTAGATTTAAATAGCCAGTAACAGCCACCGCTGTTATCGAACAGTCTATAATCCCACCCACTTTAAAGCGGTACTAACTGCAGTGGAAAAGCAACTGAGCTAAAGTGAGCCGTGCCGTGTCGAGTCGTAACACGCAGGGGAAAAGCGAAGCGAGCCGAACCGTGCCGCACCGAACCATACTGAGCCATACCGAGCCGTACCAGCAGGGGAAAAGCGCCATTTGTGTCATTATCATTGGATATATCCCCTTAAGTTACCAGGCGGATAAAATGCTTTTTGATTTTATTTGGAAAAACAAGAAATTTACGGAAGTCCAAAAGCAGTCGCAAATGATGATGCCCCGGTGTCAGGCTGGGTTCTCCGTACCACATGAAACGCCTGCGCCCTTTAGTTTGTGCGCAGACATCCCGCTTTTCCGTGCCTCGGTCTCGTCAGAAGTGCCTGAGCAAAACACTCTTCTGTTTTGGGGCAGACCAACGAGTCTCTGGTCTAAACAGCCACTATTTACTCATTCCCAAAAAAAGGATGATGGCTTTCCTCCCATTCTGGATCTAAGACCATTAAACCGAGCTTTGGTGAAACGCTCGTTCAAGATGATCACTGTAAAACATCCTTGCGCATATTCAACCCGGGGACTTGGTTTATAGCGATGGATTAGATAGACATGTATTTTCACCTTCATAGCTCCTCATCACAGGCGTTTTCTGAGGTTTGCATTCGAGGTGGTCCCTTATCAGGTCAAAGTTCTGCCGTTTGGGAAATGGCTTTGGAAACCTGCACATTTACAACATGCATAAGTGCAGCGCTTTCCCTGTTGAACTACCAGGACGGTTGGGGCATCATCTCCCATTCCCAGCAGGTGCTGGAGGAACACAAACACAGAGTTCTAGCGCACTTAGTCTGTCAGGGAACATGCCCTAAAGAGCAAACTTCAGCCCTCTCCGTTCATCACATTCCTGACAATTATTTTAGACTTTGGGTCGATGGTCGCGCGGCTATCACCGCAACCAGTTCAGACCAGTTTCAGTGCTCCATTTCGGGTGGGTTAGAACAAGCCATGGCTCTGAAGTCTCTCCAGAGACTGATGGGATTGATGGCGGCTGCAGCCCCCGTCCCGTGACAGTGGGTGGTCAGTCACAACAGATGCATCGCTGAGCGGCCCTGTGTGATGGCAGACTGTTCGGGTTTGGTCAGATGCCCAGAGTCAGTGCAATATAAACCACCTGGAAATGGAGGCTGTTCATTAAGCCCACCAGGAATTCTGCTGTTTGTGATGGCATTCGACCGGACAACGCAGCGGTGGTGACGGCATTCAGCGATCACCAGGGCGCTTCACAGGCTGGAGGAGCATTAAAGGACAAGTTCGTTATTTTACAATTAAAGCCCTGTTTTAAGATCGTTTCTGATGAAATAGAATGGTTAGGATTGTTTTTTAGACAAATTCTGCTGTCCGGAGAATTTTCGGATTCTGTGGTAGCACCCCACACCTCTGCAATGGTAGCATAGGTGCACTGGAACAATCCTTCATAAAAACGCATAAAACTTTAGTTTACAAAGGGGTGTAGTCTGAAATTCACATACAAAATTTTTGCACGTTAAAAAATAAATAAATAAAAATTTCCATCATTCTGTCACAAAAATTTCGGACTTGGTGTGCAAGGACCTTTACTATTGAGGAGAGACAAGAGGCTGCATTGGATAAGGGTAGTTAATACATCGGGCAGGTTAAACCATCCAGAGAGGGTGTGGTGTACGGAGAATAGAAGCTACACCCTCAGACGGGCGCCTGATGAGAACTTTGTTTGCCGAAGCGGAGGTCGACCTCTTCGCCACAGAGTAGGATACTCACTGCCCTCTCTTCTCTGTCGGACACCTCAGGGACAGGGAGTAGCTGGCCCGCAAAACAGAAGTATGCTTTCCCTCCAGTAAATATATTAAAGCTAGTGCTGCAGAAAATCAGGGAGGAAAGGGAGACCCTAGCACCAACATGACCCAAACAGTCATGGTTTCCGGAGCTTGTGGCCCAATCCGCTGACAAAACACCTCCTATCCCAGGCGAGAGGCAGCATCTGCATCCCAGGCCAGAGTGGTGGGATTAGCATGTGGGGCAGGTCAGCGCAGCGTGCGTCTAGGTGTTTCGCAGAGAGTGCTGAACACTTGTAGTGGAGGCAAGAGCGCCATCAACTATACGCTCTCAGATAGAGAGTGTTCTCTATCTGGTCGAAAGCCCTGACACACTCCAGTGATCCTGGCTATTCTGCAAGACCGACCGGATTCGGGCAGTTCACCCTCTACGTTACAGGTAAATGTGGCCGCTATTACCACCTTTCACATCACTGTTGAGGGATAAACCTGCTCTGATAATGAGTTTTCTGTGGGGTGTGGGACGATTTATTCCTTCCCCGCTCCTGTTAAATGCCCGTCATGCCCGCGATGAACAGCACTCTTTTCGAACCGCATCATGCGATCAAGCTGGAAGTGCTCTCATTTAAGACAGCACCACTGGCGCTAGCGTGTGGGAAGTAAGTAGGATATGCAAGCTCTCTCTGTTAATGGTGTTTGTATGCAGTTTGGGGCGAATGACTGGCTGACACCTAGACAAGGTTAAACACTCTTATCGCTGTTCAGACCGCATTGGTGTGTGTACTCCACTAGGAGTTTGGTTTCATCTTGGGCTTGGGCAAGAGGAATGCCTATTCAGGACACTTGCTTAGCAGCTGTATGGTCTTCACAGAATACTTTCTATATGTTATAATTTAAAATTCCTTCCTTCTTGTGCACTGTGTCTGTGCAACGGGAGTTTAATGAGCTGCTATTGGATGACTGAGAGATTCATCGCCACGCCCTTCCTTGGCGAGTAGTTTCGACAAGGCCGTATAATAAAAAATTATGTGATGAGCGTTAGGGCTGCACGATTCTTGCTAAAATGTGAATCACGATATTTCTCCATGGGAATTGAGTCTCAACTCGTTGGTCTTGCCCAAAACAGAAGAGTGTTTTGCTCAGGCACTTCTGACGAGAGCGAGGCACGGAAAAGCGGGATGTCTGCGCACAAACTAAAGGGCGCAGGCGTTTCATGTGGTACGGAGAACCCAGCCTGACACCGGTGCATCATCATTTGCGACTGCTTTTGGACTTCCATAAATTTCTTGTTTTTCCAAATAAAATCAAAAAGCATTTTATCCGTCTGGTAACTTAAGGGGATATATCCAATGATAATGACACATATGGCGCTTTTCCCCTGCTGGTACGGCTCGGTATGGCTCGCGTTGTCTCGCTCGCTTAATAATCAGGGTTTGAAATTAACACATGCATTTGTGGGTAAAAATCAGCTATTGATGGCAAAACTGTTTAATCACCAGCCAATTCTTATGTTTACTCACTTTGATGGGGAAGTTTGTGTAAGCCAAAGTAAGTCATTCTCAACTTGTGAGTAATTGTGATATATTGGATACTATGTATTGCGCAGAATCTGCTCATATCTGGCTTACTTGAACACGCCATTCACTACGCAACAAATGACAGCGCGCTTATTCATTTGCATTGAAGCAATAGCTAAGATTTTAAAAAGCTGTGATGTAGGTAATCTGGTTTATTTTTCTTTACTTTTTTCCCTTTATGGATAGTAGAAGTTGGTGTGGTAACCATGATTTAACTACAATAACCAGGGTTTTTTGTTTTTATTTGTAGTAAACCAGGGTTAATTTCCATAAGAGCAGTATTAAAATATTTGAATGAATGCATGCGGTAACTGCCTTAAAGAAATATAACAATGTTTAACATTTAATTTATATTAAACAGTAACTCCTTGATAGCGTTATAAAAGGGTATTAACAATTAAGAATGTTTGCATGCATGTGAGAATCACATTAGGTAAATTATCTAAAATATTTAATACAAATTAATAAATCAGTTCATTCTGATCTTATTCGTCAGACCTCACACACCAGCTTTGCTGTAACTATAGACAAGCACACTGACACCGGGTGGTGAAATAGTCACAACTAGGTGATTAAAACACATTTCTGGAGTTGAATAGACATATAAATGGTCATTTAAATATCTGAAAACCTAAATGGTGATCAGTCACATAATGAAGGCAAGACTGCTCTGTGCTGCCGAGTTGCGGTGTAAATGCCTTCATCCTCGGAGCCGCATTAACGCTCTGTGGGCACACACTAATTGCCACATAATTTGCAGTCAAAATTTGGCACGCACATGTAACCAACAAACATGTAGATGTGCATTATTTGTCACCTACCCTACATCTGTTTGGGGTCTGAGGCTGTTACTGTATATTATCTAACAGCCACGTTTCTCACTTTGTGTTAAAACAGAGGCTTAAAGGCCCTTTCACAGCAGGAACGATAACTATAGCTTCCACACCAAGATTTGTGATGCAGTTTTGACATCTGACACTGTTGTCGGTCCTCACCAAATGTGAATTCCACAGTCAGTCTCTCGTTGTCAATACTTGTGGATTAATATACACGAGGTACATCGGCCCAATGAGATTTCATAGATTTCATAATTACACATAGCACCTTTAACACAATGGAATTATAGCAATAACACTGATGAATTAATGTCATTGGTGTGCATTAAATGTGTATTTTCCAGTTTCCTGAACCCATTGGGCATGTTTCTTGGTGGGGCCGTTGTGGCTCTGGTGTTCACCGGCTCTGTGTGGGCTGGAGAGAATAAAGCCGTGATCAAGAACTTCAAGAAGAAGAACCCCACCCTGTTCGTGGTGGGTGTGATGGGAATCAGCTACTTCCTGCTGTCCTTGTGTGGAGGAGTGATGGTGTTCCTCTTCGGCATCACATTCCCAATGCTCTGTGAGTACTAGCATTAGATCTGCACTGCCTTACTACAAGTGCACTATCATGCCATTTCTGTTAATCTGTTGTTGATGTCAGGTTCAGGAATAATCTTTACGTATTTGTCACCCACTCTAAAAATAAAGGTTCCGAAAGAGAACCACTGAAGTTCCACAGAGAACTTTTCAGATCTTAACACAACCGTTTTCTTTCTTAGTGTAAAAACTTTATCCAGTAAGGTAACACTTTACTTTTAGGGGTGTGCATAAGACTGACATGACACCCTCATTATCATGACATGACACGACACATGATATTGACAAATTGACATTATCATATTTCATAAATATGTCATAAACATGACATTAATTATCAATCCTTAGCTTTATAGGTTAACATTACGTTAAACTGTCATGTGGTTGGCTTTGACATTGGCTGTCATGAGGCATTATAATTCTGTCATGAATATTTTTCTTGACCTCGACTACAGTGGTACTAATTGAACTAATAATTGAACTAATTGTACTAATTTCTCCCGTTCGAACTCGTTCATCAAAATGAACAAATCTTTTTCCGAGTCAATTGGTTCATTCAATGAATGAAACGAATGAATTGACTCAGAAAAAGATTCGTTCATTTTGATGAACGAGTTCGAACAGGAGAGTTACAAACGTGCGTCACAGAACAGAGCAAGGTGACCATTTGAGCTTATAAAACTTAAACTTTGTTATTTTTTTATTTTTTTTAATGAGCGATCGTTTCGCTTGATAAGACCCTTATTCATTGTCTGAAATCGTTTAAAGCCCTTTGAACAGTTTGCAGTTTGTACTGAAAGTGTCTTTTGGACCTTGAACCGTTTGGTTCCCACTGAAGTGTATTATATGGAGAAAATGCTGGAATGTTTTCATCAAAAACCTTAATTTCTTTTCGACTGAAGAAAGAAAGACTAGTCTTGTACATCTTGGATGACATGGGGGTGAGTAAATTATCAGCAAAAGTTTTTTGAAAAGTGAACTACTGACCGTTGTCATAAACATGCATAAAACCCTGTGTCCTGTCATGATTATGAAGATGTCATGTCAGTCTTATGCACACCCTTTCAAGTAAATTGTTACACTTTATCCTTATAAAGAGCCTTTTGTGTAATGGAAAGGTTCCAAGGATGTGAAAGGTTCTTCATGGAACCATCAACAATGATAATAATAATAATTCATTACATTTATATAGCGCTTTTCTCAGCACTCAAAGCGCTTTACATAGAGGGGGGAATCTCCTCAACCTTCACCAATCAACACCAATAAAGCACCTTTATTTTCAAGTGTGAAGGATTTCTTTTCTTTTACAAAAGTGTTGGAGATCAAGTCAGATCAAGTGAGTGGTATTTATGTAGAATAATACATCTCTTTTCTACACCAGTAATAATTGTTGCCATCTCATCATGCTTGACAAAAGTAACCAGATTTCCTATCAAATTTGCTATTAAAACCGAAAAAAAGGCTTCTTCAAGGATTTCAGTTTTTGAAACCCAAAACTAAAAATTATTGTCATCATTCACTCACTCGTGTCATTCTGGGGGCCGTTCACACCAAGGACGATAACTGTAATGATAACGATAAAGATATAGTTCTAAAAATCAATCTAAATATAAAAGAGTAGCAGTGTTCACACCACAACTATAACAGTAACAGCACTGAGAAACAATATCGTTGAAATCACTTTACAGAACGAGTTTTTTCCAGCTGATGAACGATAAAAACATTGACTGCCAGTCAGAATCTGTTCTGCTTCAAAGAGCTTGAGCAGCTCCAAAACTGCAGCACGCTTCGAATACACAGAACGATATCGTCCGCTGGAATGAACACTAAATTATGTTTCATTAACAAAATTTGGGGGGATCTAGGAGGGTGAGTAAATGTGTGTGAACTATCCCTTTAATGTTGGATGACCTGAGCTACTACTTTATATCAGTGAGGGGCATTCATAGTAGAGACCAAACTAAACTATGATTTACTCAGTATAGACTTGTGCTGCATGAGTGTTGTGTGTTACTGTGGAAAACAGGAAGAGGTTTAGTAGTGTTTTGCATGAAGCTATGGCAACACAAATTCTGTGCAATACCCCTGCCTAACGGCACTACAGGAGCCTTTTAACGACAAACTAAAGACAAAAAATTAACCAAATGTCTGAAAATGAAATTAAATGGATAGAAATTAAAAATGCTGTCAGTAATTACTCACCCTCATGTTGTTCCAAACCTGTAACACTTTCATTCATCATTGGAACACATGAAGATCTTTCTGATGAAATCTGAGAGTTTTCAAATGATCGCACTTACAGATTTAATTCAGGCTTTTATTCACATATAAACATTGATCAGCAAACATAAAAGGAAGCTCAAACGTACGTGTTCAGTTGAGCTTCTTTGCTGATCTATGGCTGCATCCGAAATCGCGTACTATGTGAGAAGGTACTATATTTAAATAAGAACGTACTTCGCCATAGACATATACACTAGACCTCACCTTGGGGCTCTAAGCATGCGTTAAAACCGCCGCCATCTTGGAACAGGGGTCTTGTCATAGGAAGTAGCTAGGTAACGCTGCTATCTCTGATTTACGTCAAATTCATTGATGGTGGCGGACTTTTGTGCAGCGTATGATGTTCACGGATGAAATCTGAACTAGGAAGAATGTTTTTTTTTTTTTTTTTAAATTCTTTCTCGAATCAATGATAAATAGATGTCTGACCGTTGGAACAAACCAAAAAAACAAGAAAAATCGCATTCATGATGATTTATGATGATTTTATTTCCGTTAGACCTGTGTCTACTACATTGACGCTGATGCATTAAAGTGGAGGGGCTCCCCTGTTTCAAGATGGCGGCTCTATTGACACATTCGTTCCAATGAACTGCCGTAGCCAAGGTGAGGTCTAGTGCATATGTCTATGGTACTTCGCGACCGTTAAAAAAGTACGTTCTATATAGTATGAATACGGGTAGTATGAATGAGTCCGGACGTACTGCATGCGCCATGTTTTTGTCGCATGACATCCGCTGTCACAACAGAGCGTAAATTTAAAGAGCCCATTCCTGTGACTGCACCAACTTCACGCTGTTTTTAGTTCTGCTTTCTGTTTTTATCTACGTTTTTACGTCGTCCGAGCCGACAATCAAGAGGAGGCGTCGGTCAGCTGCTCGTAGATCACGCCTATTGCGGAATTTTTCAAATAACATTTATTTACCTAATAAATTTTACCTCATAAAACACACACACAACCCCTATGATAAATGACAGATGTTGTTTTTGGCAAGTAAAAAGCCCTTTTATTTGCTTGTGATATTACCATCGATAAATAAACATGAATGAATCAATAGAGATACACATGTGTGTCTGTGTTTATCTCATAACATTCGGTTTTCGCCATTTTCAACTATAACGACAACAACTCCTCTCCCATGGCATCATGGGATCGTAAAGTGTCCATAGTGTGCGCATTTCAGAATCTGTTTCAGAACTGTTTTTCCAATTCTATGATTTCGGACATACTACTCTGCTCGCGTGACTGTTTTTCGCATACTATATAGATTTCGGACGCAGCTAATGTGAATAGGTGAATAAACGCCCAAATTAAATCTGTTTATCTTATAAAACAAATGAGTCTCTTCAGAACATTTGGACTAAACCACTCAATACATATGTATTAGTTTTACGATCTCTTTATGAACTTTTTGCATCTAAGTGGTAGTTGCGTAGCTGTCAATGGAGGGACAAAAGATTTCTTCATTTGTGTTCTGAAGATGAATGAAAGTGTTACGAGCTTGGAACGACACGATGGAGAGTAATTACTGACAGAAGTTTTAATTTTTGGTTAAACTATCCCTTTAAGCAGCTTCCAATTTATTGCTATGAATGTATTGTAAATTTATTGAAAAGGGAATTTTAATAAAGTAAAATTATAATAATAAAAGGAAAGATTGCACCGTATCCACTCCAGTGGCCCTATACTATACACTGGGAATGACTAAAGACTACTGGGAGAAACAGCAGTAAATATAGAGTAGTCGTGTTTCTCTGCTAGCTTTGAGTGTACAGCCTAATAGCGTATTGCCGCATAGCGGTATTACCATGTGTCTAGTTTCTGTTCAGCAAGAGAGGTATTGTTGCTCAAGTCTTGTTTCGCCCCTGCAGTGATCCTTATCCACGCTTCTCTGAGGCTTCGCAGCATAAAGAACAAGTTGGAGAACAAGATTGAGGGTGTTGGCCTAAAGAAGACGCCCATGGGATTCATACTGGATCACCTGGACCAGCAAGAAGAGAAAATCAACAAAATTCAAGATTTCTTGGAGAGCAAGCTGAAAGATTGAGCATGAAACACATCAGTGTCAACGATATTCAGCTAGTTTCTTCTTAAGGTCTTTGTTTGTATGTTTGTTTGTGGTCTTGATTTGATAACCAAATGACAGAAATGGAAATATCTTTTAAATACCAAAGTATGACAAAATTCTCAAATTCCCAAACTTATGACAAATATTTCCAAAAATTCCAAGTTGTTTGTCACGTCACATCACCAAAAAGAATGATTGGAATTATTTAAAATGATGTTTGTAGTTCTTGCTAGGACTGTCTATCAAACTATTGTCTTAGCTAGATATCCTAAACTCGTTTCCTTTGTATATGCAGCGTCCATTGACATCTAGTGTGTTTTTGTTTTTATACCAAAGGAATCTGCTTAAAGGTGTATGATTTGTAAAGCTTCAATAGATTTCTATGGACAGTCACTGAAGGCACTTTGAAATATTTATCATCATAGAAAGGTTTCATCATAGGTTTGGTTAGACCCTATGTTTCTCCTATGGTGAAAGCGATCGTCAATCATCTATTGCACATTAATAATTAAAATTAAATGTTTTCACATGATGAGCTATGATATCTGAAGGAGGAGTGTATTGCTGAAAAATACAGTTTTGCATGTTTTGTTTATTTTTTTGGCTAACAACCTCAGCAGTGAACAAACCTTTATGGTTCTGATATCATAAAAACGCAGAGTTACTGTTAGCTCACTGGTTTGAGGGGATTTAATGAATGTTGAAAGGTTTGGGCATGATATGAGTCAGTAATAATGTAAACCACCGCTTTTGCACAAATCAGATTTCAGTTAGTAGTCTTTTCTTTCAAAGTAATGCATGGGTGAATTCAGATACAGTTTGTTTGGGATTAGTATTTTTACTCATTAACATCCAGATATTTCAAGTGCTTAAAAAAGTTCTTCCCTTCGGCGCAATTTTGGCAGAGGGCATCAAAGGCAATGTTACCCTTTTATGGTGTCTATGCAGGTTATATTTTTGCAGGTCACGTTCCTTCACTTCCTATTGTGCAGTGAAACCCTATAGTGGGCCTCTAAGTTAGATCATATTTTTGATTTCAAAGCTCATTTGATATTTGCAGATAATGCATGGTCAAGTGTTGGTTGCTTAGATAATATCTGAAGTGTGAATTGCTAAACTTGTTTTTTCCTACATAAGCATGCAATCTTCTCAAGCTGCAGAGCAATTTAAAATGTTTAGCCTAGTGCTAATTTTGAATAAAGGCTTATTTTTCACAGAGAAATATTCTTACCATTTATATGCTTCAATCAAACTGTGGTGTGTGTGTGTGTGTGTGTGGTGTACATATATTTGTTAGTGTTAAAGTGGGAAAAACACTGTACATTATTCCAAAGAATGTTTGATTTAGTAATCTTTCATCAAAATATAACTTGCTCCACCTCTGAAATGACTTCCCTTTTTCAGCTGAAATGTTTCTACATAATGAATCCTACTACAAAACTACTACTTTACAACACATGCAACTGTTGAAGTCCTTGTGAAGGGGGCATGCTAACTTGGGATTATTTCAACAACTTCTACTATTACTAATAATTATAGAGAATAATAATAGAGCTCAATTGTGCTCTTTTTTGCTTGAAAATTATATCTATGAAAAATTCCAGTCAGGATTCAGACCGCATCATAGTACAGAAACTGCGCTAGTTAAAATTACAAATGATTTACTTTTAGCTTCTGACCAAGGCTGTTTCTCAATACTAGTTCTACTTGATCTTAGCGCTGCGTTCGACACTATAGATCATAAAATACTCTTGGATCGACTACAAAACTACACTGGTGTTCAGGGACAGGCATTAAGCTGGTTTAGATCGTACTTATCGGACCGTTATCATTTTGTAGACTATGGAGTACCGCAAGGATCGGTTTTAGGCCCTCTGCTATTCTCAATATATATGCTGCCACTTGGTAATATTATAACAAAACATGGAATTAATTTCCACTGTTACGCTGACGACACTCAATTATATATTTCATCACGACCAGATGAAAACACTAACTCATCTAAATTGACAGAGTGTCTCAAAGATATAAAAGGCTGGATGACGCGTAATTTCCTGCTATTAAATTCTGAAAAAACGGAGGTATTACTTATTGGTCCAAAAAACTACTCACAAAACCTCTCACAATACAACTTTGTCCTGTTACTTTATCCACTACAGTAAAAGACCTGGGTGTTATACTAGACCGCAACTTGTCTTTCGAAAATCATATTTCATATGTTACAAGAACAGCCTTTTTCCACCTTCGAAATATTGCTAAGCTACGTAACATGCTATCTGTTTCTGATGCAGAAAAGTTAGTTCATGCATTCATGACCTCGAGACTAGATTACTGTAATGCTTTATTAGCCGGTTGTCCTGCATCCTCAATAAACAAGCTACAGTTAGTACAAAATGCAGCTGCTAGAGTTCTTACTAGGTCAAGAAAATATGATAATATAACACCGATTTTATCATCTCTACACTGGTTACCTATTAAGTTCCGTATCAACTACAAAGTACTACTACTGACCTATAAAGCCCTAAATGGTTAAGCTCCTATGTACTTAACGGACCTTCTTTCGCCCTTCAATCCACCGCGTTCCTTAAGATCACTAAATTCAAGGCTTCTGGTCATTCCTAGGATATCTAAGTCCACTAAAGGAGGGAGGGCGTTCTCGCATTTAGCTTCAAAACTCTGGAATAGATTATTTCCCATCTGCCTTTCTGCTGTTATCTCGGGACAAGCGTCCCGAAAAATGGCGTTCGTCAGGTCCAGTTTTGTGTCCAGCCTCTCACGGGGATTTTGGATGCCCCACCGCCTGTGATGAGAAGACCAACGCCTGTGAAGAGATGACTCAATGCCGGAGATATGTTATGGCACCGTTTTATATATAAACAATATTTATATTTAATATTTATATATAAACAATATGAATGTTAGCCAGAAGAGAACTGGCCCCCGACTGAGCCTGGGTTCTCCCAAGGTTTTTTTCTCCATCCAATCTGATGGAGTTTTGGTTCCTTGCCACTGTCGCCTTTCTTTTGCCTTGCTATTGGCTTGCTTAGTTGGGGTTATTTAATATTTAATATTTAACAATATTATTGATCTGTGTTGTACTACTTTCATGTTATCACTGTGAAGCTGCTTTGATACAATCTGTATTGTGAAAAGCGCTATATAAATAAATGTGACTTGACTATTACTACTAGTATTATTGTGTAGCATTAATGTAACGGGCTGAAGAAAACTGTAATCCATACAAAGTACAAACTAACATTTACCTTATAATTGATGTAGTATCTGGATGAAACCAAAACTATACTATTTTAGCAGAACCTCATCATTCCCACTACTTTATTTATTGTTCATGAGAAGAAATATATTGTGTTGTGGGCTATTATTTTGAAGTGTTTTGCAATTAATGAGAAGAAGGGAATTGAAGAGTAAATAGACCCCTTTTCAGTTGGTAAACATAGTGACGTTTTTTTGTGGGCGGAGTTTAGGTGGAGGCGGAACAATCCCTCTGGCTGCTTCACTAACATTCGTTAGCAAGTATTGTTAGCTTGTTTATTAACAATGACTGGAGAAAATCCGAATTTATCTTAATGTGTAAGGTCACTCAGTGTCCAGCACTGCGATTGTTATTTCCAAAAGTTATACGGAACCAGATTGGCCGACCCGTAGCCGCCTACACGCTCACTCTATGCATGGACGATATGACGGGATTAGCGTTACTTTACCTCGGTTGAGTGGCCTGACTTCTACACCTACCTTATAGAGAAACCGATCGTAGAGATAAACTGAGGGCACATAAATCTTTAGATGCCTATAACTATATGGTCCTGTACAAGACTTGTGTGTACGATCCGCAGTTCTGCCGAGCCAGCGCCGAGACGATGACAATGTAAACAGTGACATTTGGTGCGATATTAATGATGTGAATATTTTCTAGAAATAAAAATTCCAGATACACCATATTCATTTTTCATCAATTCTTGCACCAAACAACACAACAAGATGACATTTAATAATAGTAACAATAATTTAAGCTCCTTATTATGTAGCCGAATCTGTGCAGGTTTGTATTGGCCACCTCCAGTTTTCATATATAGGTCTATAGGATGGATGAACCTTACTTGTCATCTCGTGTGCTTAATTGTTTTACAACTGCAGACAGATACCACCACACATTGGCTTACACCTTTGGTCACAAAATTCGGTCTCTAAATTCGAGTCCCAACCCAGCATCATACTCTGGCTTGGTGGAGGAATACAAAGGATTTCTGTTACAATGCTCACTGGCCCTCGAGATGCAGCATCACCGCTTCCCCACAGAGAGAGATAAAACAGCATTTGTAATTTCTCTGTTGACAGCGAGAGCACTGCTGTGGGCAGAGACGATTTGCAGCTATTTGGGCCGGTCACGCACTCCTTTAAAAGTGTTGTTACTCACTTCTGTGAAGTGTTTCATCGAGGATTGGCACCTTCACTGCGGCTGCATCTCGCTGTACGATGATACCATCAGACTGGAGAAGTTCATTCAACTGGCCATTTAAGTCCCCCGTCATATGCTGGGTTGTCTGGAGACCACCGAGGGTCAGCATTCCTCCTTGCAACACCATCAGTTCATGCCCCACTCGTCCTCGGTGTCCTCTGCTGAGTTTTGTTCAAACTACTTGTGTTGGTTCCACTACTGCCTCTAATGTGTATATTTCAGTCACCGTTATCGACTCTGGGTCAGCTCACCTTTGACCATCTGCATCGGAAACAAATCCATCTTCTGGTTCTTGATAATAACATCGCTGGCATCATCCAAGGTTGACTGTGGTTAATCCAACACCACCCTGTAGTTGTTGAGGAATGGGGACGTCCTAAAGAGGGGGGATGACTGTTATCCATCCTGATTCCCAGAACTGCCATTGAAAATGCTCTGTTCCAGTCCAACCTGTTCCAGTTTATTCTACATCAAATTGAAAGTCCTCTTGATAAGGAGTCTGGGGATATTCCAGAGTGTTATGCCCAATTCAGTGACATGTTCTGCCCCAAGAAAGCTTTCCAACTTCTGCCACACAAGCTAGTGCCCAGAGAAAGAATGTATCCACTTACAGAATTACATTCCCGAGCAGAAGGCCATGGAGAAGTACATCCAGGACGCATTCCAACAAGACTACATTCGTCCATCAACCTCCCCTGCTGACTCCCCTAGCTTTTTTTGTGGCAAAAAAGGATGGAGGCTTGTGGACCTGTATTGATTATTGCTCTCACAACAAAATCACCATTAAATTCTGATATCGTCCTTCCGTCCTGGCAAAATTTTCTCCCTTGAACACCTCTGTGGCACTACCATCTTCACTAAATTGGACCTCCGTAGCTGTTATAATCTAATCAGGATTTGCGAAGGAGATGAATGGAAAACCGCTTTTGTGACCCTATGGCCTGTATGGCCTGGTCAATACCCTCTCAGTCTTCCAAGATTTTTATGCATGAGGTGCTCTGGGATTATCTCCACCAGATTGTGTTTGTCTATGGCCCAGTCCCAATACTCACTTGAGCCCTAAGGCCTTCCAGGAAGTGGACACTTGTTGAAAGTGCACTTAGCGGAGAAGTGCGCAAGAGTCCGAAAGCTGTGAAGAGCAGAATTGGGACAGTTTTGCCCACGTCACTGTCTACGTCACTTCCGTTGTGATCAGGAGACAGGAGCGTGAACATGGTGCTGGCCGCAGTTGCGATTTTTGCAGTTTGCCTGCTAAAGTTGATAACAACTCATCACCAGTTTGTTATCAGACGAATTATTAGAAAGCACAGGAGAAGGCGGCTTCTACGCCGGATCCAAACATGCATGCCGATGCCCGAGCAACAGGTAAATTAACTTTATTTTACATTTCAATGTACCGTTCATTTGGCTAATGTGTGCTGCTGATAATAGATGTAACATGATACAATCCTATTTTTTACTTTTACAACCTTTCTGTTAATATTATTCATATTAAAACCCTTTTGGCTAAGATTGTGATATAACCTAAACTATGAAATAATGCAAACTATACTGCATTATAATGAGAACTTTTCCTAATATTTTGTAAATTTGGTGAGTGAGTGTGGATTTCAAGAGCAGCTCTCAGTATAATTCAGTACAGTTTACATCACCACCACCACAAGTGAGTGTCCAAAATTACAATGAAAATGGATCAGCTCCTCTAATAAATTAAATTATAAAATGAATAAATACTTTTTTATGGT